GTCATGGGAAGGAAATGCTGAACATGATCATAAGGAGCTTTATCTGTTGAGTAGTAGAACATTTTTCATCATGTTTTCCCTGCACTTCATTGAGCTCAAGTAGATAAATGCACATTATAGTAAGCTGCCTCGTGAGCGGAATAGAAATCAGCTGAATCATTGGAGCGTTGGAGGTGTCGTTAAACGAAACTACCGTGACTAGTTTTCTAGACTTTAAGAGTAAATTCTGTTGTTGTTGTTGTTGTTGTTGTTGTTGCTGTTGCTGTCGTCGTCGTCGTCGTCGTCGTCGTTGTTGTTGTTGTTCAGATGATCAAACATGCCTGGGATAGCTATGAGAAGCATGCATGGGGCTACAATGAACTCTCCGCTACGGGAAAGTCTGGTTCGGACGGCCAGGGAATGTTTGGCAATTCTCATATTGGTGCCAGCTTGGTGGGATGCACTGGATACTTTGTACATTGCTGGCTTCATGGACGAGTACAAACGTGGTCGCAAGTGGGTCAAAGAGCATCTAGATTACAACAAAGTGGTTGTAAGTGTTTATTTCTTTGAATACTATGATTATGTATGTTCTATGCACTGCCTGATTTGTAGCTGATTTGTGAGATACTGCTGCTCACTGCCCCCCCCCTCTCTCTCTCTCTCTCTGTGTCTCTGTCTCTCTCTCTCTCTCTCTCTCTCTCTCTCTCTCTCTCTCTCTCTCTCTCTCTCTCTCGCTCTCTCTCTCTCTCTCTCTCTCTCTCTCTCTCTCTCTCTCTCTCTCTCTCTCTTCTCTCTCTCTCTCTCTCTCTCTCTCTCTCTCTCTCTCTCTCATTCTCTGTCTCTCTCTCTCTCTCTCTCTCTCTCTCTCTCTCTCTCTCTCTCTCTCTCTCTCTCTCTCTCTCTCTCTCTCTCTCTCTCTATATCTATCTCTCTCTCTCTCTCTCTCTCTCTCTCTCTCTCTCTCTCTCTCTCTCTCTCTCTCTCTCTCTCTCTCTCTCTCTCTCTCTTCTCTCTCTCTCTCTCTCTCTCTCTCTCTCTCTCTCTCTCTCTTCTCTCTCTCTCTCTCTCTCTCTCTCTCTCTCTCTCTCTCTCTCTCTCTCTCTCTCTCTCTCTCTCTCTCTCTCTCTCTCTCTCTCTCTCTCTCTCTCTCTCTCTCTCTCTCTCTCTCTCTCTCTCTCTCTCTCTCTCTCTCTCTCTCTCTGTCCCTCTCGCTTTTGTACCACACACACACACACACACACACACACACACACACACACACACACACACACACACACACACACACACTCCGTGACTGATGTCTATGTCTCTTATGTTGTTGTCCTCTGAGCTTGAATTAGGCCACGGCAAGCCTTCGCTATAGCTGCACAATAAGGGCACTGCTGCAGCACTAAGTACTTTACTACTAGTAACTAGTAAGTGGTAGGTACCAGTACTGAGTCTGTGTGCATGGTTTGTTGTTTGTTTTATTCCTGTGTGCCTGTCTGCTGATAGGGCAGTACCGTGTCGATGTTTGAGATGAACATTCGCTTCGTTGGAGCATGTCTGTCAATGTATGCCTTGACTGGCGACCAGGTGAGTGATGGTGCAGTTGACTAACACCTGCTGTTTTGTGACAACTGCAGTGCTGCTGTTACCAAATCATCATTGCTTTGTGCCAGGGCTGGAGAATGTCGGTGGTGTTTTCTCTTGGCCAAGCCCCTCTGTCTCCACATTGTCCTGTGTTCTCAGTGCTTTAAGATCATGTTGATCTAGTACCTTAAGATCATGTTGATCTAGTACCTTAGTTTGGAACAACCTGCACCCAAAAGGCACAAAGGAGGTCAGTAGAGTTGTGGCAACTCCGAGTTTCTTGCTCGAGCAATCATCAGGTGACTTGTGGCATGTTCAGTGGACCTTGGCCCCAGTATATAAACCATAATTTGGCTGAAAAAAATTATTTTACAAATTGAATATCCTCTGTAGTTGGTGTTAGCATTGGCTGCATGCTGTGCAGGTACATGACTGTAGTGTTAACTAGTGTGCCATGCTCAGCAACCCTATATGGCTATATCTGTGCCCAATAACTATGTGCTATAACTATGTGCTATGACTGTGTGCTATGACTGTGTGCTATCCTACATAATAATTATATAGTGTCTGTTATGCTACTGTTGTGAATTCCCGTCATGCAGCTGTACAAAGAGAAGGCCAAGGACTTGGTGGACCGCTTCATGCCTGCATTCCGCTCATCTGGCCTGGCTCATAACTGGATTGTACTCAACGGGTATGGCACCAATCCAGACATGCATGTACAACTTTGCAAGCTCTACCCTTGTGGGCAAGGGAGGGGAGGTGGGGGATACAGCATAGTCAATAACTCAGTTCTGGGCAGCAGCCAGTACCTGCCCAGGAAGGGGAGGTGTGTGTGTGTGGGGGGGGGGGGGGGGGGGGGTACAGCCTAGCTAATAACTCAGTTCTGCAGCCAGCAGCCTAGCTAATAACTCAGTTCTGCAGCCAGTACCTGCCCGGGGGGGGGGGGGGGGGGGGGGATACAGCCTAGCTAATAACTCAGTTCTGAGCAGTAACCAGTACCTGCCCGGGGAGGGGGGGGGGGGGGGGGGGGGAGAGTACAGCCTAGCTAATAACTCAGTTCTGAGCAGTAACCAGGATTTTTTATACGTCGTTTTCGAGCAGTGAAATGTTCCGGAGTAGGGAACTTATGTGTTTGCCGTCATTGCCTAGGTTACGATCGCAAACACGTCACATTCCCGCGCTATGCCTTTTTATTTTGAAAATTTGTACCGCAATCAAAATTTCCCGCGGAAAATCCATGTTTCTCGTACCAAATTTGTACGCGAAAAATCTTTCTGCACCCGATGACGCAAAATCTCCATACGAAACATGGTTCTTGTGAAAGCCAGTCCACACGGATTCTCCGTGCCGAAAAATCGTATGGAGCACGCCTGGAAAAAATCCGTAGCGCCCACACGGATTTTGGCACGGAAAATCGTACCCCGGAACCTCTCTAATATCTCATTACTACAAGTGTAGGCAGTAGATAGTACCGGCGGCCCAGGCGTTTAACTAGTGGTTTGGTTAGACAGCCATCAACTGGTTGTGAACCCAAACATCTGCCACCGGTGTGTGTGTGTGTGTGCGTGCGTGCGTGTGCGTGCGCAGTCGATTTCCAATCGAGAGGTTGCGGATTCAATTCCCGACGATTATGGTCACACACGTCTTTCTTCTCTTTCTTGTTCTCCTAGCTCTTCTTTCATTCTCCTGGGTAGTTACAAGAGTACATGAAAACCAGAGTGTGCAGCTCGGATGGGTTGCTGTCACGGCGGAATTCCGTGATTACATCATTTTAGTGATGTAGTGCGTACAAGCAGGATTCAAGCAGGTCTCTTTCTGCACAACTGCAGCTCAGTTGTACGCACTACGCCATTTCCCGCCTCAGATTTGCGCCAAATATGATGTAATCACGGAATTCCGCCGTGACAGACACCCATAGCAGAAAAGGCCCCGCGCTGCACACTTTGGTTTTCATGTACTCTTGGTAGTTACCAACAGCCAGTGCATGCCGGAGTATGTGGTGTGGTGTGTGTGCGTTAAAAAATGAAGAAAGAATGAAAAAATGAAGACATGAAAAATAGGGATTCACTGGCCAGAAAAAGTCACTTCAATCAGCTGTGTGGTGTAGACCAGGCTAAAATTAGTGGTCGTCAATTCATCAGCCTTGCAAGCTGTTGAATGCTGTAATCCCAGTACAAGTTGCCATGTTTTAACATATCTGTTCGCTATCATCGCTTCCGGGATGGGCAGGTCTGAGGTCTGAGGTGTGTGCATGCGTACAGTGCACATAAGTAGCGATTTACAGACATACAGACATACAGACAGACAGACAGACAGACAGACAGACAGACAGACAGACAGACATACATAGCTAAAGCACGTAACAGGAGCAAGACTTGATACTGGTGAAGGTTGGCTTTCAACAAATCCTGGTCTTCTTCAGAAATCTTGCTAGACAGACAGAGCTGTCTTTCCTATCACAAATATTTTGCTGGAGAAAGCTGAGGATGCTGCTTCTTTATTCCGGGCATTCTTTCACAGTGGAGTATTGTCATCTGTGCAGTTGTGCTGTGTATTATCTAAACGTGTTCTTGCAGATATAGTAAAGCACGGGATGACAGTGGACCATGTTTTGTTATTGCTGAGCCGGGCACTCTGCACTTGGAGTTTGCTTATCTCAGCACCATCACTGGTGACAATCGCTACCTTAAACAGGTGGGTAGTTGATACATGCGTATTATTCAGTTGTTGTTGCTGTTTTTGTTTTGGTAATCTTCAAATGTCTATTGTACATGTGTGAGCAGATGAAAGATGTATTATTATTATTAATCGCATTTCCGCGTCAATAGACACCCTTAGCAAAAAACGTTATGTTGTAACGGTATTATCGTAAGGGGGAAAAATACCGTTATTTGGGTTCGACCTTTAGCAAGATGCACGCTATTTTTAGTACGCTGTTGCCAAGAGAATGGCTTTGATTTCGCGCGGTACAACCATTTTGGTCACCATATACGCGATACAAGGTGAAATGCGTACGGACTATGCAATATTTGGCCAAAACACGTACCGTTGGTCACAACGATAAATCAGCCCCCATAACGTTTATACGCTGCAGCTTCAACGCTATTTGGGTGATCAAGGTACGAGTACCGTAAAAAATAGCGTTACCGTTGTTTGCTAAGGGTGTCTAATGTCAGCAATTTGTACATGATAAATTCCCACAGATTCGCATATGCTGAATGGATACGGGAAGAGGACAGCCAACAATAGACAACACGACAAGGGTCAAGAAAAAAACAGACCAATAGCTAGCACGAGGCACAACACCAAGGCACGAGAGGCAGAGTACTGCTACAAACGACAGTTTTAGACAGACAAACAAATGCCAGGACGAAAGATTGTAAAGAACAATTAAAATGAAATTATTAATTTATTACTATGGTGAAAAAGGAGAAGGACAAAATGTTACGAGTTATGACTAACTGTCCACCAACGTAACCAGATCTTATATAGTCAGCGAGTGCGACAAAAGGGCACAAACTGACAAGGAGGACTGAGACATTTGGCGACCTAACACCTAGCTCCAACACTTCTCCAAGGCGCAAACCAACAACCTTCCAACTTGGAAGGCTCAGGTTCGGAAAGGTCCAAGAGGGGAAGGAAAGCGCTTTCCTTCCCATTTTGTCGCACTCGCTGACTGTATAAGATCTGGTTACGTTGGTGGATAGTTAGTCATAACTCGTAACATTTTGTCTTTCTCCTTTTTCACCATAATTTAATTGGCTCACCATCCGAGTTCAACTTATTATTATGGGTCAGGATCAACCGAAGGTAGCATCAATAATGTGGAGAAGGAGATTATTGATCAACTGACAATTACATCAAGAATTTGGAGAAATAAAATTATGATGTGCCAGGATGTCAGAGCGAATGGCTAACCAGGCAAGCAGCATTCCGATGCCACCAGCAATGCGGAGCCTGTCGACATACATGTAGCTGTGTGAGGGCGGCCGCGGTGGCCTCTGAGGCACGCAATGGCTCTGCTCTGCTTTCTTCCTTACATACGAACTGCAAAACTCCTCAGTGCCTAGTGTAGCTCCCAGGTGCCGGTGACCAACCGTGCGAATGACAATGCCAGTGTCGCCAAACACATCCTTTGCGACTTCTTCATCCTGTGGCTTCACGAGCAGAACAAACTTGCTGGCATTGAGGAAGTATGCAAAACCCTGTATAGCAAAGGCATCCAGTGTGAGCCCTTAGGGCGCGTTCAGACTACCGATAAAAAGTGACCGATTGGGAAAGTCACCAAGGTGATTTGATCACGTGACGTTACTGGCACGTTACCGGTGGGAAAGTTTTACTGCCGCGGCTGCTGCGGCAGTAAACTTTTACCGGCAGTAAAAAAGTGCTCAGGCTGCATGCGCGCTGGGAAAAAAGGGAAAATCCCTTGACAGTGCCGCGGTGGGAGCTGAAAACTTCACGGTCACGATAGTTTGTTATCGGTAGTGTGAATGTCCTTCACGGTTTATCGGCATTCACGGTTTGACGGGGTTCACGGTAGTCTGAACGCGCCCTAAGAGAGGTGTGTTTCACTGTACATGGGGTAGGGGTGGGGTATGAGTCAGTGCAAGATATCAATCTTAGCTATGGTCTCGACGCACTGGGCTAAGCGACGATTGACCCGTGCCCACACTGGCTGCACTCGGTGGAATAGTCGTGTATTCATGTTTCTTGTGTCTCGCCACCTTATTAGGTGGAGAAGGTGCGTGATGCCCTGACATCATCCAGCATGTCAGGAAGTCTGCCCGGTCTCATCTCATCTGAAATCAATACGGACAGCGGCACACCGTGTAAAAGTGAGTGACAGCTCTTAGAGCAAGATTTTGTTTCTGAGATGTTGCAAGCCCGAAAGAGTGCTGAAAAAGGAAATAGTGATGAGCATGAGCATTACATGGAAATATAGAGTGCAATATGTTGGGTCGTTTGACTGTCGACTGGGTTGACCGATGCATTCTTGAATCATGCATCAATGGAGTGGACTGAGTCTGGTTCTCTGGCTCATGTAGCTTTCCATTTTGCTTCGCTCCATGCCGCCGTGACTTCTTTCAGCCCATTAAGTCTGCATGGGCTTGTGTGTAATCTTTCTGATCTTTTACTTGCGGCTCCGGGTCCACGTGTTATCCTGTGCTTCATCATGCATGTGCCTGCACACGAGTGTGCGTGCAGGCACACACACGCGCGTGCGCGCACACACACACACACACACACATACACATACTGTAGGACCATATACCATAAAAGGCCCGTAATAAGGCCCTGGGTGGAAACGTTAGTGAAAGTCCAGAAATCAATCATACATACACGTGTGGAGCTAAGCGTACCCTGCGTTGTGTACTGGGCCTGTGCTTTTGCCCATTGGCGTTTACACGGAGGTGGGTAGAGAGCAGAATAAGAGTGTTGACATGTGGCACTTGGGCATGTACACGGGCGGTGGGCATTATACGGGAGTATGAAGTAAAGCAAATATTTCAGAGCCACAATTGCTGCTGCTGCTGCTGCTGCCACAATGCTGCTGCTGCTGCCACCGCTGCTGCTGCTGCTGCTGCTGCTGCTGCTGCTGCTGCATGCTACAGGTGAACTGTCATTGGATGGTGGCAGTGACAGCTATTATGAGTATCTGATCAAATCCTATCTTCAGAGTGGAAAGACCGATGCCCGTGCTCTGCGACTCTTCAATGACTTGGTCAAGGTGAGGTTTGTGGGCCTGCATCATATTTATGTGTATTGTATGTACTTCAAGTATTTGTGTATTTGATGACCTTTTGATATCCACCTGGGTTGATGGCCAGCTGTCAACAAGCACCGGTCCTCTGTGTTATTCTCACTATGGGATTGCAGTGGTTAAGAAGTCTATTAGGCTGTCGTAGTGTGCATGTGTGTGTGTGTGTGTGTGTGTGTGCGTGTTTGTTTGTGTGTGTGTGTGTTTGTGTGTGTGCTTGTGTGTGTGTGTGTGTGTGTGTGTGTGTGTGTGTGCACGTCTGTGTGTGTGCATGTGTGCTTGTGCCTGTCTGTCTGTCTTTCCGGGCACGTCCCTGTGCTGGTGTCTCATGTGCATATTACATAGGCATAGGTGACCGTATTCCATAGGTGCATTGTTTCTATCTTGTTTTTATTGTTGTCGAGCTCATTAGCTACGTGGAGGGAGTTATTGAGGGAAACTATTGTCTTTTGTTACATTTTGTGTTTGTTGACTAGAGTGTTGACTCAAAGATGATGGGGAAGGTGACGAAAGGTGGAAAGACGTACCGCTTCCTTGGCCGCACGTCCGGTGGAGGTGGTTACTTGGATACTCGCATGGGTCATCTGGTAAGTGGTGGTTTTGCTCTACTTTCTTTCTCCCTCTCTCTCTATCTATCTATCTATCTCTATCTATCTCTATCTCTCTCTCGCTCTCTCTCTGTCTGTCTGTCTGTCTCTGTCTGTCTGTCTGTCTCTGTCTGTCTCTGTCTGTCTGTCTGTCTCTGTCTGTCTGTCTCTGTCCGTCTGTCTCTGTCCGTCTGTCTCTGTCCGTCTGTCTCTGTCCGTCTGTCTCTGTCCGTCTGTCTCTGTCCGTCTGTCTCTGTCCGTCTGTCTCTGTCCGTCTGTCTCTGTCCGTCTGTCTGTCTCTCTCTCTGTCTCGCTCTCTGTCTCGCTCTCTGTCTCTCTCTGTCTCTCTCTCTCTCTCTCTGTCTCTCTCTCTCTCTCTGTCTCTCTCTCTCTCTCTCTCTCTCTCTCTCTCTCTCTCTCTCTCTCTCTCTCTCTCTCTCTCTCTCTCTCTCTCTCTCTTATGGCCAAGTTTGCATATGCATGCATGTATCCATGTGCTTGTGCCCTGGTGCCCTTATACGATGGCAAGTAAAATTAAATGAAGTATACACGTCTGTGAACGATTTCTAACTGTTGCGAACTTTCATGAGTTTAGCCTAAGCATTCTCTAGCAGATAGGTGAGTTGATTTCAGATTATCTGTCATATTGTCAGTCTAGCATTTTTATAGGGCGGACAGCCTCGTGGCTGTATAACATCGCTGGTGTTCAGGGAAAGCTGGAGGGCTTCATTTGATGCTGCTCTGGGTTCTTCTCCAATCACATGACCAGGCAATGGCAGGCGATGTCTGTGGCACATTGCCAAGATTGGTTTCTTTAGTGGTTTGGGTGTTAGTTTTGTTTTTGGAATTTGTGACGGGGGGGGGGGGGGGCTGAGCTGCCGATCAAGAAGCGGGACTTCCGGTGTTGCCATACTTCAAGCATTTCTTAATTTTAGTGACCTTTACCTGTGTGGACAGAGTCCGTACAGCACACAGTTCTGGAGCAGTACAGTGCAGGAATTCTGATGCCCTGTGGTGTGCATGTGTTGCTTGTGATGCCCTGTGGTGTGCATGTGTTGCTTGTGACAGGCCTGTTTCAGTGGTGGTATGTTTGCACTGGGAGCCAAGCACAGCAGTCAACAAGACATGTCAATGCGGCTGGGCGAGGACATCACAGAGGCTTGCCGTCAGATGTATCACAACACAGGTAAGGACTGGCGTGTCTACTGGCTGATATAGGGCAATAGGCTACACCAAAGGATTTCCGTGCTTTGCGTCACTGACTTGTGCGGTTTTATGACCGCTCTCCCTCTTTTATTTTGGCTACAAAGGTGCTTGTGTTTGTATTTGACATGCTCGACGCCCAGACAGACCAAGTGGTTGTGGGCTTGTCTGTGAATCACAGGTCCGGAGTTCGAGACCCGCACTGGCTCCAGGGAGCTTACTGTGGTAACAAATGCAGCGATGATGCATGCGTGAACCAATATTGAGACAAGAATACACACAAATAAATAACGACTAAGAGATTATTACATTGACACACACTGACCGACAAACAATGACCTAACAGTACCAATAAAAAATTTCCGGGTCAACCATCGCCCCCTAGAAAAAAGAGGGTCCGAAGCGGGGTTTTCCCCATACCGTTCGAATGGTCGCAAGACCGCGGGACTCTGCCAACCGGTTTATGGTTGCAGTCAGGAGCACCGTGTGTCATCCGCCTTGAAACATGCTGTCAACTGCGAAACATGTTAACCTATCAAGCAATGCGTACATGTATATCACCATGTGCATGTACCCACGTTGAGTACACGATAGTCTCCCAGAATCTCATGTAAAAGTGAACATTCTGCACACGAGAGGGTGGCAGAGCGCGCACTGCAAACTACGCCGTAGCGATGGCGTGTGCAAAGTGTTTTTTAGATTGGTTCTCTAGATCTGAACTACTGTACTGGTCAGTAGGTGGCGGAATGCGTTTCCGGTTCAAACCCCGAAAAAGGATTTTCCCACCAACCATACTGTATTGCTGATGCTGATGCTGATGCTCCTACCTTGTCAATGTCTCATGCTGGTGGTATTGTTGCTGCTGTTTCTTTTTCCCACTGTTTCTTTTTCCCACTGTTGTTCTCCCATGTCTAGCTACCAAGATTGGAGCGGACGAGGTTTCGTTCAGACAGGGTAACGTTGATCAAGGCCCGCTCTTCTCTCTTTCCAGCCAGGTGTACTTGCTACGGCCAGAGGTGGTGGAGAGCTACTTTGTACTGTGGAGAACTACCAAGGATCCCAAGTATCGTCAATGGGCCTGGGAGGCTGCACAGGTATGAAGTTGGCTGTTTTGTGCTGCTGCTGCTGCTGCTGACTGTGTCTGTACTGGTCTGTACTGGTCTGTACTGGTCTGTACTGGTCTTGTAGATATAGTCTGAAAAGGATTTTTGTTAACACCTTCTGCTCATGTGCATGCATGTGTGTGCGCGCGCGTGTCTGTGCGCGCGCGTGTGTCTGTGCGCGCGCGTGTGTCTGTGTGCGTGCGTGTGTGTCTGTGCGTGTGGGTGCACGTATGTGTGTTCCGGTACACATTCTATGCATAATGTATGTAGGCGATTGAAAAGTACTGCCGCGTGGACGGTGGCTACACTGACTTGGCCAATGTCGACCAGGTGCCGCCACATCCCAACAGTGGAATGCAGCAATCGTTCTTCTTGGCGGAAACACTCAAGTATCTCTATCTGATATTTACTGATGATGATGTGCTGCCACTGGACAAGTGGGTCTTCAACACAGAGGCTCATCCATTCCCTATCAAGGGTGCGTTTGATAGTGATTCTAATCTGCCACTCCACTCCAAGACGGCGTAGTAAGTTCCGATTTGCTGCAAGATGCCAGAGATGAGGTGACCTGGAACCTGATGATTAGGTGACCTGGGATCAGGTGATTAGGTGACCTGGAATCAGGTGATTGGAAGTGCTTCAGCCTGTTTAGCTTGTGCTTTTAAGAACTCTAGTGGCAACAACAACAACAACAACAACAACAACAACAACAACGAAGACGACAACAACAGTTTTGAAACAACAACAACAAAAACAGCAGCAGCCTGGCAGTACAGCATTGTACAAGCTACAGAGCCGGTATTGTGCTGGTGCTGGTGCTGGTGGTGAGTATTGCAGATGTAGTTCTGATGATTCCCACAGTGCTGGCTGGCTCCAGGGCATTTGCCACTTGTGAGCAAGCGCTGTTCACCACCATGCCTCTCACCCTACACACGTCTATATTCAATTGCCATTATTAGCTGTTGACAATTGAACAAGCTCGGCAATTTCATGTAGCACGTGGCAGCGAAACAGGCTGCATTCTGTTGCCACTGTGGCTTTGGCGAGCCATCAACCATCCATACCAAGCGTGTGTATGATGTGTAAAGTGGGGAGCTAGAGATTTCAATTTTCCATTTGTAGTACTAGCGAATCTTATTCGTTCGTATCACCTATTTTGATGTCACCGAGTGACGCCCACATTGAATACAGATCATTTTATTATACCATTATTGCAATTTTATCTTCATGGTTTTTCTTTTCTTTTTCTTTTTCTAATTATGCTTTTAACTCTGACTGCAAATAAGAAAACAGCTTTTCTTACACGCTTTTTTCTCTGGTCGTCCGGTTGAAATGCAGAAATGAGGAAAAGCAGATGCAGCACAGTTAAGATAAGAATAGAACCTGCGCCATATTTAAAAGATGATGGCGTGCCATATTTAAAGATGATGGCGTTCATCAAGGAATGCTGTTCTGAAGTTGAATCGTGGGAAAGTGATATTTCAAATTTCTAAGGAAAGCGACGAAAATATGATTGAAAATAAGCAACTCAACATGAATGAATGTGCAGTAAAACGTCCTGCTGCTGCTGCTGATGGTGATGATGGTGATGGCACAGATTCAATGAGTAGGCATGTGTTCAAGCACAAATAAAGAAGACGGGCTTCAGATATAGGTAATGGTCAGATTCATTGCTGAACATGATCATGATGGGGAACCATGAATCAAGTAACGGATTGTGTTACTATGGACATTGGGTACTTGAAACTGTTACATATTCCAGACTGTCTCCACGTGTGTGTGTGTGTGTGTGTGTGTGTGTGTGTGTGTGTGTGTGTGTGTGTGTGTGTGTGTGTCACTGTGTGTGTGTGTGTGCGTGCGCGGGTGGGTGGGTGTGCGTGCTTGCGCACAGTACGTATGTGCACGGCTAGACTGCACAATGCTTCTCACCGCTAGCCGTGTTCCGTGCAATCAGATTACATGTGCCGGCCAAGGCTAGGCACACACACATTACCATTGTCCACATGTGACAGCAAGTGCGTGTGTCGTCTAGCCGGCAGCTGTCGATTATTCAGAGGACTTTCTCACCGTTGTAGACTTACTGGTGAGTTCATTGCGACGCAGGCGATTACGCCGCGGAGACTTTGTGTCAGCGGCGGGTGCACTGCCATCAGCGACAGTATCACCAGTACTAGCAGTGCCAGCAGTACCTGCAGATTCGCTTGGCGCCAGACTAGCAGCCACCATCTGCTCCAAAGGCACCCGGTCACGATTGCGCAAGGACACCGAATGTTGCTCATGGCGCGGTGGCGTGCGAGACAGGCGACGGTAGCCCTGGAAGGGGCTGCCCACGCTGGCCGTTCTGCGCAGCGCCGTGTGACTCTTGACCAGCTGGTGCTGGGGTGACGTCTGAGAGACGGTAGCGAGTGGCGACATTGGCGTCATCAGCGAGGTGATGGATGGACGGCGGGGCTGAATGGCACGCACGATGCGCTGATGCAGAGAAATGTTGGCCTTGGCACACATGATGGGTGACGTGCCAGCTGCAGCTACTGGCGATACTGCTGTTGAAGCGGCTGCTGGTGACGCTGACAGTGCATTTCCAGTGGATGCCTGAGATGCAGCAGGGCTGTCGACTTGATCACGGTTTCTCTGAAGATGTCTCTTGGACAGACGCGGTATCATTGCCAGCTTTTTCTTCAGAGAGGATCCGGTGCTGCTTGTGCGCGTCAGCTTGCGCTCGTGTTTGCTGCTGAGGCGCTTGGCATTGGACGACTGGCGGTGGTGATTTTTGTGACTGATGCCAGTGTTGGACATGGGCACCATCTGCACCGTTGTGCTCTGCTTGCGGTTGTTGCTCAGCAACTGCACGACGTCTGTGTGCTTTAGTCCCACCACCGGCTGTAGGAGAGAGAGAGAGAGAGAGAGAGAGAGAGAGGGAGGGAGAGAGAGAGAGAGAGAGAGAGAGAGAGAGAGAGAGTGGGGGAGAGAGATAGAGATAGAGAGAGAGAGAGAGAGTGGGAGAGAGAGAGAGAGAGAGAGTGTGTGTGTATGAGAGAGGGGGGGGGGGGAAGAGACAAGGGCAAGTAAGCATGGTTCGTCACTGCATTACGCTTCGGAAGACACTATGCATTTTCTGCTACTGGTACACGCTGTGACATCTTGATGCTGCAGACGTGATCTGTCCTATGTCAACAGTTCAAGATGACAACCGGCCGTATTACAGGTGTGTGTCTCTTTCCATGAGCTGTTACAAAAGGCTCAAAGTCCAAGTTCCACCTGTTTTGTGCGATGGTCTGTATATGTAATGATTCAGTCGAAGACTCCAATTGGCTGCTGTACATTTCCAATTGAGAACAGTTAGATGCGCATGATAGTGCATGCAAGAGAAGAATGCGAAACGAAAGTTTGATTCGGCTCGTAATCGTTTCGTTGAACAATAGATTCAGGTTTCGCAAGTCGTCATGCAAATGTGCATGGCAACTACGAATACGGCCGTACGGGTGTTTACACGCACACGTGCATGGATCATGGAATCAAGGGAAAAAAGGTGTACCTGGCAAAACATGTGTACCTGGACCAATAAATGTGTACCTCACGGATTCGGAGCGCGCCACGAATGAAGAGGCTTCCATTCGTGAAAACGAGCTCTCCGCAGGGACTCTGACGAATCCTCGAACCCAGGTGACGAATCAGCATTCGTTTCGTATCCGTACGCGTGGTGCGAAAGGTTCCTATTATCATGTATAAACAACCTACAGTCTCGTACTATGAGTCAGCGTGGTGGTATGTGCAAGAGAACTGATAAGACTACTAGTCTACATGTAACCTTATACTAGTAGATAGTCTACAGTCTACAGTCTACAGTGAGTCAGCACAGCAGTGCTTGCACAACATGCCGAAAGTTCTTACCAGACCGTCGATATGAGTAAGAAGATGTTCTGGTCGTATCCCCGCAACCCAGCTGGGACTGCCCTCCACGACATCCTACAAGACAACATGACGACGACGGCGGCGGCAACAACAACAACAACAAGCATGATTGTACTCATTCATGAACACCAGCAGTGGAGAATTGCATTCAAACGTTCTCGGGCTACATAGTAGGGACAATACATTCTCTGTCCCTGTCTGGTGACCCTCAGTTATTTTGTTCTCTGTTCGACTCTCTTTGAAGTTGTCATTTGTACTGGTACTGTTGAGGCAGAGAACTAAAATAAATAAAAAACTAAACTAAACAGACAATACTACTGCAGTCTGTTTAGAAACTAGTTCTGCTAGCTTTTTAAAAGGGCCCGATTTTGGCTGAATTCAGGTTCTTCAATTTGGATTTTTGGATCTGCTCCTATGCATTTTGCCATGGTACGTGACTGTATTCATGTCACGATTGTGTAAACCCTAGCCGAATTTCTGACTCCCTATCCTTGCACTTTTCCGGTCTCAAATGTGGCAATGAATAATTGCACGGGTCACACAATGCAGGATGTATACAAGTACATGTAATTGATTTCACATTTTATTTACTAATCAAGTATATACATGTAAATCTAAGTGCGAGGCACTAAAACGTTGGGGTGCCAGTTCTAGATGTGGGCTGTATGCACGCGCGGCCGTGAGCCACCACCTACCTTGATAACATGCTGAAGAACATAGTTATCGCTGGTACCCAGGAAGACGCGGATTGCCTTGAGAGACATGCCGACGGAACACCGCGCTGGGATGCTCACGTTCAAGCCCGGCTGCGACTGACCGTAGCCGCTTGTGTTCAGGGATGCTGGGTAGCTACTGCTGCTACTGCCACCGCCGCCGCTCCTGGACAGTGCTTGCAGCGGTGCAAGGGCTGCGACATTAGTACCGGACGTCGCCAGGCTGCTGGTGCTGTTAGCACCGTACGCTGTGTTGCCGTAGCCGCCCGCCTGACCAATGTTAGAGTTATCTACACAGGGATACATGGTACAGGATACAGTGTGCAGGGTGCACGGTAAAGTAGCATAGTAATCACACACACACACGCGGGCACACACATGCACACACGCAGTTAACAAGAGCAATGCCCGTCTAAAGGCTGATTCACAAAACAACTTCTTGCGACGCGACATGCGACTTGCGACACATGCGACGAGCTGCGACAGCGACACACGGTTCACAATATTCTTCATGTTTGCGACATCCACATGCACAAGTAGTACTATGCACGTGCACTGCACGTGCACCCAAGGTCGAAACTGTACTCCATTTGTGTATGTCGCGTGTCGCATGTTGCAAAAGTCGAACTTTCTTCAACTTCTGCGACAGGTGCCTTGCGACAGCTTACGACAGCTCGCGACAGCTCGTCGCGTGTCGCGTTGCAGAAAGTTGTATTGTGAATCGCCCTTTAAGCTTGTTCTTGGCTAGACGTCACCATTATGATACTGCACAAATAAGGAACCTTCTTTCTATTTGCCTTGTGCACCCATACCAGACGCACACATACATATGCACACGTACGCACACATACACACCCAGCATTACATACACACCCAGCATTACATACACACCCAGCATTACATACACACCCAGCATTACATACACACCCAGCATTACATACACACCCAGCATTACATACACACCCAGCATTACACTACAAGAAATACATACCAATACATATCATGTAACATTACATACCACTGAGTCTTGGCCCGAGGCTGGCAAGGCGAGAGCGCAGACGTGCACTGGTTTCGTCAAGACTCTGGCGTCGCCGTGCCAATCGGATCGGCCTGTCCAGACCGGAGTGGCGATTGAATGCTGCCAGAGAACCCAAAGACACGGGAGCAGTGCCGGATGCATGCACTCCGCTGCTCATGGGCCCCCCTGACATTTGACTACTGGTCATTGTCGCCAGGGCTGTAGCCATGGCTACTTGGGCCGTTGTCAGCGGCGGAGGAACGACAACGATGGCTTCCGGAGTCATGCGGCTGGCGCTGAGTGAGCCTCTCCTCGGCGTGGTGGTGAGAGAGGTGGGCCTTTCCAGCGAGCCGCTACTCAGCTCCGGTGTAGAGCTGACGGAGGACGCCGGCTCAACGGACGTGCTTGTTGCGGAGCTGTGTTGCGAGGATGCGTCACTATACACACAGGTATGTATCACAAAGCCACACATGGACATACACTCCACACATGGACATACACTTCAGCATACATCATCATCATGTGCAGCAATACCTCTTTATTGAGTGTAGCTCCCAAACATGGCTATTTTGAACCCAAGTGAACCTCAGACCGTTAACTTTACCCCTAGGCCTCGTCAACTGCATACTAAGGGTGCGTTCTTAAATTCTCTCAGAAAAGTTGGAGACTCTCGGAAAAGTTCGAGAGCTGTTCTTATATCCTCTCCGAGTTTTAGGGGGCTCTCCAAAGCTCTCCAAGCTTCAGAGGTGGTTGAAACTTGGAGATTCCCGCGGTTTGGGATCAGCGCATGCGAACTACAGCTGAAAGCATGTGTTGATCATCAGTATACGCAATTCCCTTTTTGCATACGCACAATGCGTACTACATCCGTTGCACTCAAGATCACAACCCTGAAGGGGAAAGACCATCAGACTCTTCTACGGCACGTACACGCACGCACACCGCACAATCTCAGGACCTGGTGTTTCTTGTATTAGTTCTAGGAAGTAGTGAAACTCACTGAACTAGAATATTATTGAAGACTATTCTAAATACACTGTGGGGTATACCAGTTGCGCAGCAAAAGCCCGCACCCGCACGTGCTATCGAAGGCTAGTAATTAAGGTATTACTATTAGAGTAGTCCAACCAGCTGAACACAGCAGCACGAGAAATTACATGACTAGGTAAACACTAGGATCTGACCCGTATGATCAACAATGTTGTTAACAATGATGAGAGTGTGCTCTTAACGTAATTGAGCGGCCCAGATGCTCCAATATATTACTTCTAACATGCTATCCTTGCAACCCAATCTACTTATCTACGCAGAGCATACACTGTTGTAACGAATATCATGAACAATGTAATACTTGTACCACAAAGCAATACCGTGCACTAGACTCTAAATACATGACACCACAGTCATCAGTATTAGACCAATGCATGCAAGCAAGATCAGCAGTTATCCTTCATCACCTCCGCCTGGTGGCATGTAGAAACTCACTACCGACCATGCAATTACTGCGTGCGAAAGCGGGCAGGCGGTCGAATGGCAGACCTGTCTCGCAACACTCGCTCGTCTGGAGTATCGCTACTCGGCGAGAACACTACGTATGGCCCGCTGTCATCACTCTCTTCTCCAGCCGATTCCTCCTCTCTATCATGGCGAGGCTCATCTGCTGGGTCCGAGGAAGGTGCAGCTGGCACGTCACGCTTCAGCAGGTCGATGTTGATGACCTTCTCCTGCAAAACACCCTTGAACCTCCGCCAGATGACTACTGTCGATCCTGACAAGACCTTCTTGATACGCCAGCCACATTGGTATGGAGGAGTACACTTCTGGCGCCTCTTTGGCTGCTGGAGGAGGACGCTATCATCAGGCGCGAACGGGCACTCATGCTCGGATTCACAGTGGTCTTTCTCGGACATCTCCGCATCAAGCAGGTCGCGAACTCTCGCACACCTCGCTGCATGCTCGTCCTGCCACTCTCTGGGATCGGATAGGTTGATGCGGGCGCTCACCAATGCTCGAGGCTGCCACCCGATCATTGCTTTCATTGGTGAAATGCCGATGGCGCTGTGGATGCGGCTGTTGTAGTAATGTATCAGCACCGGGAGCTCGGCGAGCCAATCCGTTGATTCTTCCAGGACCTTCCTTATGAGGCCGAGCAGCGTGCGATTAAAACGCTCAGCCATGCCTTGCGTCTGTGGGTGCCTGACAGCTCCGGTCTTGACCTCAACACCAAACACACGCAGAAGGGCCTTGACAATGTAGTTGCGGAACTCCCGGCCATTGTCCATCCGGATCACATCTGGCGTTCCCCATCTACAGCACAACTCGACAATGGCATCGGCCACGCTCGCACCATCGTGCCGACGCAACGGGACAACTTCGGCGTACTTCGTCAGGGCATCAACGCAGACCAAGACGCAGTGGATTTCCCCGCTCTTGCTCGCCCCAAGCTCCAAGGTGTCGATCTGAACACAGCCCCACGGTCTCCCGGGCATATCTGGTCGTGTCGCTGGCGCCGCTTGTCCTCCTGCGGCGTTTGCAGCCTTGCAACGCTGGCAGCTGCGGACATGTTGCTGGCATTTCTCGGCCATGCGTGGTAGGTAGCAGCGTTCACGCAACATCTCGTACATATTCTGCCATGAGGCATGGCCGGAGTTGGTGTGGGCAGCGCTAATAACAGACTCTTCCGCGGATTTAGCGATGACAGGAACGAGGATTTCACCCTCAACAGGCAGCTTAACGCTTCGGAGCAGGACGCCATCCTCGACGACGAGCTGACTTGCCACGCTCCTGTAACCAGCATCGCGAACCGCCGATCGGGTAGCCACCTGGCTGGCGACACGCTGCACCACTTCGTCTTCCAGCTGGGCTGCCGCCACGGCGTCAAACGAAATTGGGCCAACAACTGTCGTTTCGCACACAGCGCCGGCGGTGACGTCGGGAATGCTACCCACGGATCGAGTAAGCCAGACGCTTGGAACTCGGGTCAGGGCATCTGCAATGTTGGAGTCAGACGACACCCATACAACATCCACTGCTGCTCCAATCGTGTCAATCATATCGCTGACAATGTGTAGGCGCCTCTGCACCAACAGGTCATGCAAGCCAGTGGTCTTCACTCGTCGGACGTCGTTGATCACTTGCTTCAGCCACCCGAAGACGGTCTTGGAATCAATCTTCAGCGTAATCCGCTTCACATTCCACTTCGCAGCCAGATTGAGACCCAGGATGGCCGCCTCCAATTCGGCAATATTGATGTGCCTCTTGTCCTGGTGTGGTCGTAGCTGCGTGGTATCCTCCACCACCTTGCCGTCAACCTCCAGGGCAGCACCAAGGGCCAGGCCGGACGCATCACACCACACCGTCCATGTGTTGCTGTCGCCAGCAGAGATGCTCCACGTTCCCTTTGCTGGGTCGACTTCGGCTAGCCGCTTCTCAAGCTCCTCGCAGCAGACCTGGATAGCCGGTGGGACTGGATCATCCCAGGACGCATCGTCCGCCGAAGCTGCTCTCTTCAAGAAACTGCAGGCAGGTCGCAGCCATGAGCATACCGGGTAGTGGCTTGTCAGTCGTCCACACCATTGGAAGATTCTCCTCCTAGTTGCCGGACGCTCCAAGGTCATGGCAGCTGGCTCCTTTCGCGACCAGGACGTGTCACCACTGGACGACTTGGTCAGCTGGAGGCCAAGGACCCGAGCCTCTGCCAGTTGCTCTGCGGGCTTGGTTGGTAGGCCGAACTCATTCAGTGCACCAGACACCTTCGGCACCAGGGCACTAGGGACCAGCAGGTCGTCATAGTAGTTATCTACTCCAGGATACGGCTGGGTGACGTACTTCACAACGGCATCCATAAACTTGGGCGCTACCGCCAACCCGAATCCCATTCTCGTCATGACGTGAGCTTCTCCCTTCCAAAGCACGACTTGGTAGCGGTACAGCGCCGGGCTAACCCGGATCTGGAGGTATGCCTTCCTAATGTCGAGCAGAGCATAATCCTCTCCTGCCTGACGCCATCGACGTAGCGTGTCACCGCAGACTGGTGGGTCAAAACCAGGGTCAGAGTGGAGCTTTTTATTCAAGTGACGGTAATCCAGGCACGGCCTCACCGGCGTCGTCTTGTGTTCTTGCGGAACACCGATGAGCGGCAGCACACATGCTGGCTCGCCATGTAGCTTCGGGTCGTGCTTGATCAGCCAGCCGTTGTCTATCCAGGATTGCACCTCACTAACAAACAGGCGCTCTTGCTCCGGAGTCAGGTTCGTCCTGCTGTACTCTCCGATACCCGGGCCGAGCGGCATTGCAGGAGGTTCACCATCGAGCCACTTCCAGGTCAGCTCCCATTGCTTCTCAGCAGGGCTCCAGGTCACGTCGCCGTCCGCAATACTGAGCATAACCTTGCCCTCGTCAGTGGTGCTGACTTTCACCCGACGCGACGGATGGCCAGATCGACCATCATCATTCTGCCCCTTCGGGGACAGCCGATCGGCAGTGGCTGCAACAGTGTCGCTGGCTGCGGCTCCAAACACAACTCCGCAAAGCTGTCCATCACTACTATACTTCAGTTGCAACCCACCGCTCCGCGAAGCGACATCCGCTCCAATCAGCACGTCAGCACGGACAGTGCTTAGGCTTTCAACCACAAGCGCTCGTACCTTGACTCTGGGAAGGTTGACAGGCCCGTCGTTTCGCTCTAGAAGGACCTCTAGATGCCCCAGAACTTCGATTCGATTGCCGTCCAGAGCCACAAGGTTGGTCTCGAGAGTGTCTGGGCCGTCGTACGTGAGGCTGCTGCGGTCCGCGAATGCACGGCTGATCAACGTCCTCGTCGAGCCCGTGTCTACAACCGCTTGTCCGCGTGCACGTGCGCTCACAATGGACGATTCCTTGCCGGCGTTGTCACCAGACGCTGCACTTACACCAACGAAGATTTTTACCAGCTGGCCTGACTTCTCGCTCCCATGCCCCATGTACAGGCAGCGCTCCTCCGCAGGCTCACCTCGTTCCACGGAGCATTCCTGCGGGGAAGACGTGCAGGCTGCCGATGGTGATGGCTGACCGGTGACTTTGCTTGACCTCTGGGCCTCCCAGGCCCTCCGTTCTTCGCAGTCTGCTTTCAAGTGGCCAGGCTTGTCGCAGAAGAAACAAGTGAGGCCAGGCCGCACGCCACTTGAACCCCCCGCCGCTGAGCTCCTCCAAGCACCGCGATCGTAGCCAGACTTCGCCTCCGGGCAGTTTCGCCGCACGTGACCAAGCTTATTGCAACGGAAGCAAAGCACATTCCGCGTACCAGAGCCTGCCGGCCCGGGGCCACTCGCGCCACTTGCAGCAGCTGAAACAACATCATCCTCAGTTCCAGTTTGCTGCAATGCTCGAACCAACTGCAGGCACAACGATACGTCGTCGCCTTTTCCAACCAGGGCAAGGCGCACTTGCTGCGCCATGGATGAAGGTAAGCCGTTCAGGATTTGCTCTACGAGCACGCTGTCTGCATCCGCGCCCCTTCCAAGACCTGCCACCGCTGCTAGCCTCCTAAGGTCGGCAATGTACCCATCTGGGGATTCATCCAGCTGCAAGCGGCGCGCAACAAACAGCTTGTATGCCTGCGACTTCGTGAGGCAAAACGCTTCTTTCATTCTTTTCTCTACTTCGTCCGGTTTCTTTTGGTCCGCGTCGTCCATGGCGTTGTAAACCATAAACGCATCGCCGTCCAAGTAGAGCGGAAGCTGCGCCATCTTCTTGTCGTCTGAGTCCCACTTCTGGTTTGTGGCCAAGAACGCGAACTTGGCCCAAAACACCTCCCAGCTGTCGCCCTTCCCTCTGTAGGGGCGCAAGAACCCTTCGATCCTCGCCGCCATACTCCTCACCGGACCTCTCTCCAGGAAAACCCACAGCAGTACGTTCTGCCTATCCCGGGTTTCGGCACCAAGAGCTGAAGGGGAAAGACCATCAGACTCTTCTACGGCACGTACACGCACGCACACCGCACAATCTCAGGACCTGGTGTTTCTTGTATTAGTTCTAGGAAGTAGTGAAACTCACTGAACTAGAATATTATTGAAGACTATTCTAAATACACTGTGGGGTATACCAGTTGCGCAGCAAAAGCCCGCACCCGCACGTGCTATCGAAGGCTAGTAATTAAGGTATTACTATTAGAGTAGTCCAACCAGCTGAACACAGCAGCACGAGAAATTACATGACTAGGTAAACACTAGGATCTGACCCGTATGATCAACAATGTTGTTAACAATGATGAGAGTGTGCTCTTAACGTAATTGAGCGGCCCAGATGCTCCAATATATTACTTCTAACATGCTATCCTTGCAACCCAATCTACTTATCTACGCAGAGCATACACTGTTGTAACGAATATCATGAACAATGTAATACTTGTACCACAAAGCAATACCGTGCACTAGACTCTAAATACATGACACCACAGTCATCAGTATTAGACCAATGCATGCAAGCAAGATCAGCAGTTATCCTTCAACCCCTTTGGCGCTTCATATGGCTTCAAATGTGCAAAATATCTCCGAATTCTTGGAGACCCGTTCGTGCACTATACCAATTTCTTCGACTTCTCTTTTCTTCTTCTTCGAGAAGCTAGAGAATATAAGAACGTACCCTTAATCAGTGGAAACTAATTCAAACTTCACAAAAAAGGGGATCGGTACTTTTGGGCGCAAAATCCCTGATGTCCACAAACTCCTCAGAGAAAATCCCTTAACGAGTAATCTGTAGAGGTTATGTGAATGATGTCATAGGGTGAGCCAGTGGACCCGCTTATGTGCACTATGTATACAGAGTGAGTCACTAGTGCAAGTGCAGTGCTGTGCCGCGAGTCCGTGACTCCTCCAAAGCATCTCAAGTGATGATGTAATAGTCTACAACGTGACGATCACTTGAAAGTAGTTGATTGTTAGAATCACGATCGATTACCGAGCAATTGGTATAATCCTTTCAGCAAGAGTATACATAATATAAGCTCACAACTTATACGCATGTCATGTCAAGTCATGTCATGTCATGTCAAGTTGTACGATCTCCCGCCTCTTCGTGCTAACCTGTCTCGCCACTATGCACCAATCTGTAAAAATCCAAGCATTTCCGAAAAATCGGAACAAGTGGCAGCAATTACCATAGCGATCTATTTCAACCCTGTTGATGCGCTATTTTCTTCCCATGATTAATATTCTTCTTCTGTTCCCTTCTTTTTGCTGCCATTCACTTTTGCCTCTCAGCTGGCTTCCATATTAGGGCTTTTAGAGCATCTCAGCACACATTTCTCCCAGGCTGGCACTCAACTGTGTGTGTGTTTCCTTGATGGCAGTGCACGATATCGCATACTGGTAACCTCTTGTAAGAAATAGTACCGGTAATACGCCGCAGCAGCGGACAGACACTCACAGATCGGTGGGCCGCCACGCGTGGTATGGACTTGACGTGAGCGAGGAGCTGGTGTCGTGTGAGCTGACATCCGACAGGTCGGAGTCAGACCGGTTTATGCTGCTCTGGTGGCTGAGCGGCGGCGTGAGGATACGCGAGAACGACGGCGACATGGACATGAAGTTGCTGTACAGGCAGTCCTCGTCGCCTTCGTTGTCACTGTCGATCAGCGTGTGATCGTAGCGGTCGGTACGGGCTGTCAGCGACAACACACACGTACACACACACACACACACACACACACACACTCCGTTCACATTAAGTACCGGTAGTCCCGTTTACTTTGACAACCTGTACTGGATGAAATTCAGGCCCAAACCCACGGTTAGATTCGAAATTTAGGTTACCCTGGCCAGTTTTTAACTCAGTACTTTGCTTAACTACGGCAAGGAAGAACTGCCATAGGTCATGCAATGTGGGGTGTGTGTGTAATTGGTCATACAATGCAGGGTGCACACTTCTTTTCACTGCACTCCGCCATCACTAGACGAGACAATCAAAACTTTCTAAAAGTTTGGATGTCCGTTTCGGATTGCGACGCTGTACATGTAGTTGAAGTCCCGGACTATCATGTCATCATGGGACATTGCTTCGGACTCAAAATGCACTACATTCACCGCGTTGCACCATTCTACAGTACTGTATCACAAAACAATTGTCTACACACCACTCCCCCCCCCCCCCCCCCCATATGCAATGGGTTCATTGATGATGTAATGGCATGACCTCTATAGAAGTGATGAGCTAAGTGCAAGGCCGTCACAGCCGGGGCGGCTGGGGCGGCTGAGGCCGCCCCACTTTTTCGGCCGTTTTTTTTATTTTTTTTATTTTTTATTTTTAGCACATTACAACAAAGCACAATGATCACAGCTATACTATAGCGCAAACGTGACAAATCCTTGTCCCCGATCGATCGTGGTTTGTTGCAGAAAAAAATCTTTCATTGCAGTTACACTGAAATGGCACCAAATGCCTGGAAATGCTTGCAATTGGCTTCAATTTTTGAATTTTTTTCCCGGGGGAGGGTAATGTTTGTCCCCGATCGTAGCGTCTTCTTCGTTTGTTGCAGAATCAAAAAGACTTTCATTGTAGTTACCGTACACTGAAATGGCACCAAATACCCGGAAATGCTTGCAATTGGCTTCAACTTTTGAAATTTTTCCCCGGGGGGGACCCCCAGACCCCCCCCCCTCCATGGCCGCCCCACCTCCAAAGTCAGTGCGACGGGCCTGAAGTGGAATGCCATGATCAGATGATGTTGAATGAGAAACAAAACAGCGGATAGGCCGGCGAGTCACTCACGGTCAAAGTAGGATGTATCCTCTTCATGATCAAGCTGTGGGATAAACTCAGCCTTCTGGAGCAGCAAGTTTCTCCAGTCGACATTGTTGAAGAACACATGGTTCTTCACATCGGCAACACCTGACACACGATGAGAAAATTAACACCCGTAATAATCATAGACAACGTTGAACCGCAACCATAGTAACCAGCTCCAAGAAGCTGAGAAATGCGCCGAAAGAAAGCGTCCGATCAAGTTGCAGCATTTTATGCAGGGCACTGTTATCTATGCACTCATGCTGATAACAAAAAAGCTGACCTATTCCCTTCCCTAAAATCCCTAATCTTTACTCCACCTTGCCCTCTGATACTGTGCAACACCGGGGTAAGCTGCAGTAGATTGTCTTCTTTTAAAACAGGCCAGCCTTACTTTGCCTTACTTTGCCCTTTGCAAACATGAGTAGGGAACAGACCAGCCTTACTTTTCCCTTTGCAAACATGAGTAGGGAACAGACCAGTCTTACTTTTCCCTTTGCAAACATGAGTAGGGAACAGACCAGCCTTACTTTGCCCTTTGCAAACATGAGTAGGGAACAGACCAGCCTTACTTTGCCCTTTGCAAACATGAGTAGGGAACAGACCAGCCTTACTTTGCCCTTTGCAAACATGAGTAGGGAACAGACCAGCCTTACTTTGCCCTTTGCAAACATGAGTAGGGAACAGACCAGCCTTACTTTGCCCTTTGCAAACATGAGTAGGGAACAGACCAGCCTTACTTTGCCCTTAGCAAACATGAGTAGGGAACAGACCAGCCTTACTTTTCCCTTAGCAAACATGAGTAGGGCAGTGCGGCAATACGGTCAGACCTCGCTTATCCAGTCCTCTTTTATCCGGATCCCTCGCCATCCAGAAGAAAACCGTTGGTTGCCGATTTACAGCATAATTATTATGTCATGCATACATACATGTGCAGTATAATGTTATGTGTTTGGTTATCCGGCTCCCTCGCCTATCCGGATATTTTTGTGAAAAATGGATGCAGTGTGCGGTTGCCTAAGCGAGGTCTGACTGTACTAACTTAACAGAAAGTGAACCAAGCAGCTGAGAGTGCATGAGTGTCCAGGCTAGCCATGGGAATCAACCCCTACCATTGCATGTTCCTGCGCCGAGGCGTTTCTGTGGATCTCGGATGAGCAGGTCAGAGATGATCTCCTTGCCTTCCTCTGAGAAGGGGAAATCCGTTGGGAACTCGGGAAGCACCGTTTCGTCGGTGATCTGCTCGAACAGCTCCTCCACCGTGCTGCCGATGAACGGCGTGTCGCCGATCAGGAACTGATAGAGAACAACACCGAGTGCCCACCAGTCCACCGGCGGACCTGGGCAGACAGCCAGCAACACACACATACACACATGCACATACACACAAACATACACATGCACATACACACGTACGACACTTTGAGATCAGCAGGTGCTCCCACAAAACACATCCAGCACCAGAAACATGCAGTCGTGTAGATCTGATTCTAACCACCGCTTTTGTAGCGTAATGATACTCATAACTGTACATAGCTTTCTCTCTGTCTCTCTCTTGTATTCATAACTGTGCGTGAGAGCTGCTTTCACACCTCTGCATGAACTCTGCAGTGCTGCTTTCACACGTCTGTATGAACACCGCATGAATGCACCCCTTTGTACCCACGCACGCGCCACACTTTCCATCCTTCCATACACGGACGAGTACTTGGGGACTCGGGCCTATGTGGCTTGTGGTAGCTCTACTCACTTCACTTCTTTGTTCGGACTTTTACTAGCTGTTCTGTTGTTTGTCTTGTAAATAAAGATGGTAAACCCTAGCTCAGGAGTTTACTACAACTTTGATCAAAGAGGCTGCGATGCAGTAAATGTAGGGCTGAAACGATCATTCGATAACTCCTAACGATCAACCAATATCATTAACGATCGATATATTGGTTTTATCGATTCTTGTCGGCTCTACTGGTGTACCTCGTACACCAGTTCATGAAGAAATTCCATGATACCTTTGCTACATTAGAAATTTGTGGCATCGCACTGTTGACATCTGTGGAAATCTGGCTGGTTTTATCAACATGAACTAGAGAATATCATGTTGTTTCTAGAGCAAAGAATCTTGTCATCACCCTCTGGCAACTGGCCCTATTTCCGACCTCTCACACAAATGAACCAAGCAGACAAAAGTGTTCTCTCCCGATCTCTTTCAAAGCAAAATCAATTTTACCGCGCTTGGAAGTACGTGATTGTACTCGTATTCACTATCGGATGGAGTGAAAGGGCTAGAAATAGCCTAGAATACTGTCACTGATATGCATGCATAATAAATCGTTAGCACTCGTTTTGAACACTAACGATTATCGATTGCAACCTTAACGATCGATATGCGAGTTATCGGTATAATAATTATTGTTTCAGCCCTAAGTAAATGATATACATGTACTGTCGAAAAGCATCCGTGTACATACACAGATACATACACATACACAGGTACATACACCCACACACACACGCACGTGCACACACACACACACACACACACACACACACACACACACACACACACATACACACACACACACAGGTATGATGGTTGAACACTTACCGTAGCCTTGTCGCAATATGACCTCCGGGGCGATGTAATCCGGCGTGCCGAAGACCTGCTCATCGTTGAACACTTGATTAGCCGACATTCCTTCTTCGTACATGCTAGTTGCGTCTGTGAGGACGCATGACATACACACACACATACACACAGGGAACGCATTGCAGTCGAATAGAGTCGACATCTAGATACCGAGTGAAATTATGGAAGGGGGAAGAAATTGCGGGACAGGGGGGGGGGGGGGGGGACAAGGCACCACAGGGCAATGAGCATGCACACAGGATTTAATCCTGAAGAGAGCAATATATTGGTTCAAGTTAATAAAGTGTATTTGAATATCAGTGCTGATCATTATCAACGGTTATGCAATCAGTGATGATAAATTTAGATTTCAGGAAGACATAGTAGGATGGTGAGGCAGGATTGGGTTTCAGCAGTATAGAGCATAGACAGCCAAAAGAACAAAAAAAAAAAGAACACACAATTGTCATAAGGCGATGATCGTAAGATAGCTAGGTGGGCGATTCAGAGAATGAACACACATACATGTCATGTAGAAATCAAATGTGCAAGTTACTTGTGTCCTAGACCTAAGTGCTTGATCGGTAGTGAGAAAGATAGAGGAAGAGAGGGAGACAGAGGGAGATAGCAGGAGAGAAAAAGCCAATGCAAAATGGAAGCGGTGGTAAGATGGTGAAGGAGTAGGTTGCGGTGGACATTACAAAAAGAGATCATGAACGTTGAAACTCCATTGCCATTAACATAGAAAGAGAACAGGTACTTTTCGGTTCATTGACGGCTGACAGATGCCGAAGACGATAGGCCGGCGTACCGCACTACACACAGAGATGATCAGCAGGAGTGCTGCAGGGGACGCACGCGCAGGGTCACTGCGACCAAACAAAGCGTGCCTGCAAGCTGCTGCTGCTGCTGAACTCTCTTTACTCCATCCTCGAGACAGCTGAGGTTGAGGTGAGGAACACAGAGATGAGGCTGGTGTGTGTACGTGTTTGTGTGTGTGTGTGTGTGTGAATAAGGAAGAGATGGTTGGCGAGGAAATCAACGTGCAGAGCATCAGCAAGAAGCAGCGTACTGGACAGCACACCGAACGGTACACAGTACTACAGGACCACTGATCGGATCCGAGCTAGGCGGTAGCGGCAGCAGCGGTGGCGGGAAGTACGATGATGCAGAATATGATTGGTTGCACGGGTCTACATGTGTTACACAGTTAAAGTGTTCCCTTCGAGGGCCTCGGCATCACTTGGCATGCACTCGGGTTCCATCTGTTAGAATTGTTCCTCGAGGGCCTCAGCATCACTTGGCATGCACTCGGGTTCCATCTGAGAGACGGCGTCAGGGCCATTGGGACTGGCACTTGTCCGCAGCTCCTCCAGGAAACCGGCCAGATTGCGCAGGTTACGCTGCAGCTCCTCAGCACTGTTGTACGGGTACGGATAAGGAAAGGGTGTGCCGTAGCGAATCCAGCATGCAAACTTCCTAGAGTCCCACAGAGCGTAGGTTTCATGGAACACGGCCTCAGCGTCGTTCTTTCTCTCCTCGGACAGATTGTCGGTGTTGGTAATGCCCATCATGGATTTGTCCAGGGGCAGGCGTCGCATGCGCACCGAGTCTCTCATCTTTGCGATGCGCTCCTTGATAATGCCGGGACCAGAGCGGCGTGTCCACTGGTCTAGGTTGGGAGACATGTGTTGAGCAGAACGCCAGTCGTAGAAGTTCTCCACCTCCACGCGGGCAAACTCGCACATCTGCTGCACCTGCGGGTACAGCCACGGCATGGAGTTGATAAGCAGATCGTCCTTGCTTAAGCAGTACATCACCTTATGGTCGCCAATGTACACGCCGTACAACTTGAAGGACATGTGCCGTTCGGATGCAGACGACGGCGGCACAAACTTGCGCTCCAGTATGTCGCCGACTTGCAGGATTCTGTCGTGGAGACGTGGCGAGGGTCTGTTGGACGTGGCGGCGGCCGCAGGGGCATTCCCACTTGCAGCTGCCCCATTGCCAGTGCCAGAGCCAAACTGAGTTGGGTTGGCTGATTGTTGTGCTGCAATGTGAGCGTGCTCGGCTTGCAGTTGAGCCATGGGCTGGTGATGGTAGTACGTCGTCGCCTGGCGAGGCAGCTGCGAAGGATTCTTTGGCATTTGACTCTGCCCCATCACAAGGCCTCCAAAGCCGTTACCGCCACCACGCTGCGCAGCACTGGCCTCGACGGCACGCTGCTGCTCGTCGGACAGTTGGTGTTGTTGCTGCTGCTGCTGCTGCTGTTGGTGGTGCTGTTGGTGCTGCACTGTAGGCGGCTGCAGCACTGCCTGCTGCACCTGCGGCTGCGTAGGTGCATCTTGCAGGTCATTGAACGGATGTGGCAAATGGGAGGCATTGGCGAACGGCATAAGACCTGAATATGGACCATAACGTTGTGCGGCAAAGCTGCTGGTGATGTTAACAGTGTGAGCCATTGTCTTCTCAGTAGCAGTTCCACAAGCAAAGCGGAGAACCTTGATCTTCAGAAACCAGCTGTCACTAGTAGCAGAGGACCTTGAAAGGAGACGTTGCTGAAGTTCCACGGGAAGAGGTAGAGGAAGGGAGAGGTCAACTGGCGACAGCGGCGATATTCACTGAGGCAAGACTGGAACAGCTCCTGTGTCGACAAACTGGTGAGAGTCAGAAGCTTGGTGAAGTGGTTGCCTCTGACTGAAAAGCAGCCTTTTGACCACTTCACACAGTGCCAGGACTAGCGCTGCTCACACATAGGGCAACATGAGTGCAAACATGAGTGCAAACATGAGATCACACCAGGACATCGCACCTACTGTAGTGCGCACACAGCTCAGAAGAAGAGCAACAGCAGAAGTACTTTGTCTGCAGTGGGTAGCAGATGACAGGTTGCACATCACACACTTTGCTGCTTCACTATACTGCCGCACTGCCTGGCACATCAAACCTACCAGCAGCATGGTGCTAATTTAGCACTAGGGTTTGCCAGCGCGTCTGCGAGGACAATGGGCGTGAAGTCACACTTACACATGTGCACACTTCTTACGCCCACACATCCCTGGTGGACAACAACAGCTGCCAGCATGAGGCCACTAGCAAAGCATATGATATACACCCCGCCCGCATGAACTGTGAATATCACCACTTCCGGCATGCAAGAGACGTTCATATACTGAAAAGCAGTGAGGTGCAGCATTACACAGAAATAAATATATCATCCCGTGACATTGAGGAAAAGAAGAAAGACATTGATAACTTCTTGCCTATACAACATAACGCACTGAACAAGCACATGAAACCACTAGCACACTTAAATCTAATGTGGTTTCACACTAGGACCTTCAAACCTCATACCCCGCACTCTGCATGGATTCGGAAGATGGAGGGAGCATGCAGAGCTCACAGCATGTCCTTTGCAGCATGGCTAATAGTCAGCATGGCCAGCCACAAGGACTGGGTGCTGGCTGATCACGGCGCATGGGCTGACTGGCACGTGACTGCATGCCGGTCACGATGTCACCTCTAACTGTTGTGAATTTAAAAGTCGTGCATGAATGCAGGCATATCCACCACGGAATCACACGATAAAGGGCAACCGCGGCACGATTGCCGTCACCACTGCCACTCTTCCCGTTCTAGTTTACTGCACATTGATGATCACCGCAGCCACAGCGAGATATGATATCACCATGGCAACCAAGAATTACAAGTACAAGACGACAACGACCAGCAGTGATTACCGGTGCTTGGGAGGTAGTAACTTACAGCTCATGATTCCCACTCTGGATAGTCCAAAGTCTGTTAGCTTGATATGGCCTAGCGATGTGATCAGCATACTGCAAAATAAAACCACCACCAGCAGCAGCAGCAGCAGCAGCAGAAAAACAACAACAACAACAACAACAACAGACGACCAAACAAAACAACGATAATAAATTACAGTGCATGAAAGCAGCAAGTACACTGCACTACTACCAATTCACTACTAGGCCTGTTGCAACCATAGCCCGTAACGCCACTAACGGTGACCATGTCAATAATGTGAGAATAAGGCTGCTATAGTCGCGATGCCAAAGACAACCCAGAATGGAAGGTGGAGGGTATGGGAAAGCAGCAAACTGCATGGTTCTCTGCATGACTGAACTGCTCATCAACAGTGCAAACATGATGTTGGCATTGCACACAGTCATGTACCCATGCACATACACACACATGCACACATGCACGCACGCACGCACGCACACACACACACACATACATACGCGCACACACACACACACACACACACACACACACACACACACACACACACACACACACACACACATACATACGCACACACACACACACACGCACCCATGGTGTAATCGTCACTATTACCTTTGTTGATAGCAGCCAGTTACTAGTATGAAGAGAAACTGTTCATTAGTAAATAATTTAATGTTGGATGGGCTTTAGCACTCACTGGCTCTTTCTTGCTTTTAAAACGACATTCATGTCTCATGTCGCAGTGTCTCAATGCAGTACTAGCAAAGTTCTTACTTGTCCGGTTTGAGATCTCGATGAACTATGCCATAGTTATGCAGATATTCCAGTGCCAGCACTGTCTCAGCTACATACAGTCTAGCAAGTAACATACATGTACACACACACACATACGCACACACACATACATACACACATACATACACACACATACACACATACACACACACACACACACACACACACACACACACACACACACACACACACACACACATACACACATACATATTACATATTACATATGTGTGTTAAAGGTAACAAATAGTGCAGAGCCCAACCTGACTGTGTGGGGCAAGAGGTATTTAAAAACATCTCTTGTTTCAATGAGCTCGACACCACAAGGACAGTGCATATCTACTGCCATGTCGCCTTTGCCTCCCCAACCGAAGTCTGATGCCGAATCCAGGATGGGTCGGTTTCGGCCTGGGGTGGATATACCGTATTTTCTAGTGTGTTAGTCGCACTTTAGAACACATAAAAACTCAAAATGGCCCCTGTGGCGTAGACTCCGAATGCTGGATGCGAACGACCAGCGCTCCAGCAATCCATGCATATAATGTATGGTATTGTTTGACCACTTTTCACGCAGTGTAATCCACCATTGCAGGGTTCTAGCCAAGGGGGGGGGGGGGGCAGCGCCCTCCCCCCCCCCCCCCCCCTACTCTGTCCCCCACCCCCCCACCCCCTCTGTGAAAAAGTGCCACCCCCTCCCTACTCATTTTCCGAATTTTGTGTTTTTCATGCAATTCAACGAAAATGCAGTCGAAGGTCACTATTAGATGGTTCATAAAGGCACATATGTCCGGGGGTGAAGTCGGGGATTCACCCCATACGTTGCATTTAGCGTGGCAAGACAATATTGGAAAGTGGAAAAAATGGTCACGGGGTAACTGTTTCCCATGCCCCCCCCCCCCCCCCCTACTATTTTTATCTGGATAGAACCCTGATAATATAATGTGAGTTCACGGGTGCCCAGCCTTTAACCCTTTACCGTTTGTACGTACAAATTTCGACCGCTCGCGGTCGATGACTTCTATGCGCACAGCGCTGGACTGGTTCACCGCAGAGAGCTGGGATTTTCCCTACTGGTAGCCAAGATGAACGCGCAGAGGGTGCCGACAATTTTTTTGTGTGATGCAATATAAAAAATCGCGAAAATTGCGACTTGAAAAATGCGCTTGGGGAAAAGTGCGTACCCTGCGACTTTTGGTATTGCCTGCAGATTATTTCGACTTTGCTTGAGCTGGCCCCACGCCTGTCTGCCCTGCTGTGCAAGCCATGGACGCGGAGCAAGCTCTTTCGCTTCTGGAGACCCTTCCTGACGACTCTGTCGCTGCCTCATCCAGCGAAGATGAGTTTGTGGAGCCAGACAATCCTGTTGAAAATATTTATTCTGACAACGACCGCGACGATGACATGGCGAGTGAAAGCAGCGCCAGTGAGAGTGACATGGATGTCACAGACGACGGCAGTGTCGCTGAGATGAGTGCCACTAATGGTGGAAGGGGACGTGGCAGAGAGAGAGGATTCGGCCTTGGAATAGGCCGTCGTCACGATAGAGGTCGTGGTGCACAGGTACTATGTATAGCCAGCGGTGCAACCTGCACTAGTCGATATTTGCAATACTTGGGACAATGCTGACACCGCTGTGACTGGTAACACTCTGCTTTCCACCCAGAGAACGAACCTGGTATCCACTTACCTGAGGGAGCCACTCCAGTGCAAGGATCTGATTTATTGCATATTGCAACAGTTTGCCCGATCGGCAATAAATCCAAATAATTATTAGTGCTAAATAGTGAAATCTGTGTTCGTTTTCTGGACTTGAAAGTTGTTGCATCGCATTCCTGAGGGTTTTTACTCTCAGAATCACCCCATTTTGTAAATAATAAAAGTGAAAAATAAAAAAGTTACGGCATGAACAATGACGGTCGGTTTTTGCTGTACAAATACCTAAAATAGAGATGCACTGGAGGAAGCGGTGGCGAATTTGATCTTGATCCAGGCAACAGCAGTGGGTTCTTGTGGAAAATATCCAACGGCACATGCTGTAACAAAATATTGTTTCCAAAATATTCCCTTCATAGCCACAGCAGCCACGAAGGCTCAATTGTGGTGACGAATACCGTCCAGACATGCAATAAAAAGCTCCAATGTGTAACTATTACATGTAACTATTACATGTAACTAGCTTCAACTAACAGACATAAACATAAACAGCAACCACGCTGAATTGCACACCATCTTGGATACACTGTGGGTGTGTGTGTGTATGTGCGCGTGTGCGTGCGTGCGTGCATGCGTGTGTGTGTGTGTGTGTGTGTGTGTAAACAGTGAAACAGCCGTTCACGTCCTGCCGGACTCGCAGCCTCATGCCGCGTCCCGAAGACAGCACTCCTTCAAGTCGCCCCGTTTGGGGACACATAGCCAATCGTGGCAGTGGGCGAAGGAAGGAAGGTGTGTGTGTGTGTGTGCGTGTGTGTGTGTGTGTGTGTGTGTGTGAGAGAGAGAGAGAGAGAGAGAGAGAGAGAGAGAGAGAGAGAGAGAGAGAGAGAGAGAGAGAGAGAGAGAGAGAGAGAGAGAGAGAGAGAGAGAGAGAGAAAGTCGCTACCTTGCTAGGTCGGTTGGCAGTGGGCCGCCAATGTTCTTCAACAAGGCAGCACAGTCTCCACCTTCAACATACTCCAGCACCATGCAGAAATGTTTCTGCACAACAGAGGAAGAGAGAGAGGTGGATGGTGGAGGAGGAGGAGGAGGAGGAGGAGGAGGAGGAGGAGGAGGAGGAGAGACTTGGACACTCATGGGTATAGTAACTAGTTAGCCGAGCTGCTCAAGACATCAAATTGAACAAGCAAACAAATGGGCCAAACCCGTCTAGGAGGTAATGCAACCTAGCAATGGTCTATTAGCCTTACTGAGTCTAGTGTCAACTTCCAAAGACAAACTATCAACTTGATATAAAGACAAACTATCAACTTGATATAAAGACAAACTATCAACTTGATATAAAGACAAACTATCAACTTGATATAAAGACAAACTATCAACTTGATATAAAGACAAAGCACACTGACTTACCTTGGTCTCAAAAGTGCACCAGAGACCCACGACAAAGGGGTTGTTGGCAAACGTCAGAATGTTACGCTCTGCGTATACTTGATCCTGCGAGGACAAATAGAACAAATCTACCTTTGCGACTATTCACAATATCACACTGTTAGTCACCCCACACACGGTACTTCATAAGAAGAAGAGGAACAGCGATCTGTATGCTTACTGAAAAGCTGCACATAGAGATTATTTCTGCATGCAGCTCACTGTGACCGCCATGGGCCACGCCATGCCTAGGGCTAGGGCTAGTCACCTGGTGCACACCCTGAGAATGATGCGGGCATAGCAGTGCTACTGTATACATCTCACTACTCAGTTCCTAGCCTAACGGACACCAGCTAGTGCGACAATGACTATCATCCTAGGGCCTCTGTCTAGGCTCGGTTTGTTTTTGGACATCTGCAAGGAATCAACGGTATCGACTTTGCCACTGGAAGCCCATGTACAGAAGACAATGCGAAAGGCCCATGTACAGAGAATGCGAAAGTCGCAGACCAAAAGACCAAAGATGAATTTAAAAGTAATCACGGGTACTTCACTCAAGAAAATGCACTTTTTCACTTTTTCACTTTTTCACGATGCAAGAGCAGTAGGATGAATAGGTCGAAGAACAGCATGGCTACGCGCAGCAAACAACACAACCTGTGTGTGATAGGAGTGTTCTATCCAGTACTGCTCACCTGTGTGTGATAGGAGTGTTCTATCCAGTACTGCTAACCTGTGTGTGATAGGAGTGTTCTATCCAGTACTGCTCACCCACCAAACGTAAGACCACATGTAAGTCAAGCACTATACACGGACTACACATGAGCAGTATTGCGCAATCATTGCGCAATCATTCCACTCTACGGTACACTGTAGGTTATAGTGGTCAAGAGCATGAAGACACTGCTCAGGCTGGACTGATGATTCTCTTACCAAGTTCTTCTTCCGAATGACGTTAGTCTTTGTAATCTTCTTCATTGCGAAAACCTGCCGTCGCTCTTTGTGTCTGACCAGGTATACTGATCCATACGCACCGTTGCTGATGATTTTTAGCTGCTCAAAGTCATCGGCCTTTGGCTGCACATCCTGACTGGCCAACTGAAAGGAATGAAGACAAACAGAATGCTATTCGGTCATCACTCAGATAAGATTGCAATTGGCCACCATTTCTCACATACACACACATACACACACATACATGGCGTACGTAATATCTGTCTTGTGAGGTGTTCTGCCATGAGAGTAGCCATGCGTCCTTCAGCTCACTCAAAGAGTGTCACCAATTACAGCTCAGAGTAGCAGGCAAACAATGGTGGGGAGGGGGGGGGGGGGGGGGAGATTTACTGATCGGTGTTGTTGTTTCCTGGCAGGATACGGAGGACAGTACTATTGACAGTATTGTGAACTGTACGGTACATATTCCGCACAGCGGACACCGGCAAGAAAAGGCTTCATGGAGTCCCGGAATAATCAGCGACACACACGCACCCATGGACACAATGACAAACAGACATTGAGTAAGGTCATATATGAATGATATGACGTCATGACTCATTGTTAGCAGTGCATTGCACCAGAATGCACACCCACTCCTAACTTGAAACCAGCTTACCTCAGTGACCGCCTCATCCCCGTCTTCACTGCCATCGTCGTCACCTTCATCTTCTGATTTCACTGCCGACAGTCGACGGTCACGAGACAAACAGTCTGCAGCAATCCATCACGGATACACATGTATTACTGGCGTCAGTAGCATGGCTAATAAATATTTTTCTTATGATTTCTTCCGCTAAAATTCCTTGTTTTACACCTGCTGACCTGGTACAGGCTCCTGTACAATACTGCTCTCTCTCACACCTCACATTTGCAACAGCAAAGCCACAGTGCAGGGTCGGCGGCGGACAGACACAATACCGTATCCAAGCTAAACTTGAAACATATACGTAACAGGCATTGTCAGACTGCCGGTCCGGACAAGAACAGTCAGCCTACCTCTCGGCGTCAAGCATTGCCGCACGTAGTGCAGCAGATGTGACGAGTCACTGATGTTTGATGCCGGGGACGGTACACAGGATGTGGTAGCACAGGACATAGGCGGTGCTAGCATCTGTAGCACACCACCTCCGGCAGCAGCGGGCGACTTGACCTGGCCGTGGGCATCCAGTGAGTTCATGTCTTGTTCCTACAAGAAAAGCACAGCAACAGGCACAGCACGCGATCCAATGTGTGACCATGTTGCGGGCAACCCGGGGTACAATCATGCATCTTATCCGGCAATCACTATCAGTTTTAAAAGAGAGGTGCGTAGAGCACAGTCATGACTTGACCAGATCAAGGCAATCACGATGGTAGCTAGCGGCAGGGCCCGGCACCAACACTCCACTACAAAACACAAACGACCATTTAGATCATTTATTTCTCATGCTTACCAAGCATTCCAGTAAGCCGGCCGGCCGAGTGATAATGACCGTCATCTGCTGCAGGAGCTTTTGAATCATTGCAAATGTCTCCGGTGTGGCTCCCCGACGAATATTCTACACAGAGAAGCAGTTTCAAGAAAAACAGTCAAGCTTCAAACCTATCAACAACGAACAAAATATAAAAAATGTTCTGTTGTTTTTAAGGGGCAGAAAGACTTTGAGTCGGCGCATGGTTAACTAGACAAGGTACATCTGTTGACACAAACCCTACTTTCCCTTCAGCACAGATAAGCGCCTGTCTGTGTTCAAAACTGACTAACGCGCTAAACCGTTGAATGTATTCTTCTGCTGGGAGAAAGCACTTCAGCACTACACACGATCAAGATTGGTGAATGAGCCTGGCGTACATCTTCATTCAGTTGACTCAAGTTTTCCGTTATTGACTGGAACACTTGCATCGTGATGGCACCGGCCTCAGACTTATCCAACAGGTCCTTGGTTAGAGACAAGAGCTGCACAAGGAAAAGCACAAACGATCAGCCCGACATGGAATATCAATATCTACTGCAGGCGCAGCCAATGCACAAACGTCCAAGTCTAAATACAATGGATCAACACTGGAGCCAGTAGAAGCAGCACTCTCGCCACTCATCCGCCAAGCGGCTAGCTGTACGGCCGATCCCGCTTGTCAGGTTGGGATGTGGACTTTGACACACCGACTTCTATAGGGCTAGCCAATACCTGGCCCTGACATAACAATAACCCAACCTTGAACTCTTATTTATAAAGCAGCAGGGTTTCAGGAGAGATTGCCACCGGGCCGAGTGGATTGACATTGTGCATGACATTGTGCATGCCGATACTGATCATGTGTCTTACAGTGCTTATTGTTACACGGACTGGTAACAGATCTGGATGCTTCAATATGCAGCTCATCTAATAGATTTCTGATTGATGATTCAGATAGAACAATACACATACCAGCATGACACACACATGTGTCCCCCCCCCCCCACACACACCACCACACACTCGCAAACACCTTTGACCTTTTGACGCCCATCGCCGGAGGCGATGATAGCAATGCTACGGCAGAAGCCATAGCAACTTGTGCTGGGATTGCTCGCAAACACACACACACACACACACACACACACACACACACACGCGCGCGCGCGCGCACGCACACACACACACACACCTTAGACCTTAGACATGCCCATCGCGGGAGCGATGATAGCGAACAGCTATGTTAGACATAGCAACTTGTGCTGGGATTACACCATTCAACAGCTTGCAAGGCTGATGAATTGACCGCCACTATTTTTAGCCTGGTATCCACCACACAGCTGTTGAAGTGACACACACACACACATGCACACACACACACACCACACTTCATTACCTGCGTAGCAACGAAGTTGACAGCTGCATCTTTGTGTGAGGCAGCTTCATGAAGACTGAGGTCAATTTGAAATTGCTGCCAGACAAGCAGACATGAAACACGAAAAATTCAAACAATAGGTCATCACCAAATACGGTTTGTGTTTGAGAAGAGCAAGATGACATCATCATGACAATCGTGACATAATACGTCATGTTCATTTTCAACTTCAGCTGCTGACAGATGTGGATTCAACTTATTACAGAGGTTAAGCTGCACGTTTTTTAACGTGACGCGAGGTCCTGCTCGCATTATGGCTCGCATGTTGGTAAACAACGCGAGAGAGCTGCATCTCACATTTGGCGTATTGAAATTTTGACCCATTTGACGTGAAATTGCGTGTCATGTCAAAAATAACGCGCGCAGCTTAAACCTCTCTAATAGGATTCATTTCACACGTGTGCTTACCTTCAAACGAAATTCCATTTGCTCAATAGCCTGTGGGTATGGACAAGCAAAAGAGCACAGCTCATCAGCTCATCGTACACATGGCCTGCTATTCAATAATACATACAGGTGTGCATGTCTGAGTTTAGACTTCACAGTGCTTCAAAGTACTGTAAGACCAGATATTTTAACGTCAATTAAAGTTAACGATCTCTGGACTTTTGTTGGTAGACGAGGTGAAATGTTAACGAATTCCGTCTGTCAAAACTGGTGAATGGCTGTACATGTACATTGTTTTGCACATAAAGACTTCAAAATTTAACGAATTGTTTCATTAGAATTAGTGGTTTTACAGTACCCGGGACACAGGGCTGTCTGGGGGGGGGGGGGGGGGGGGGGGTTCAGGTGTCCGAGCCAATCATAGGCCGATTGTGGATACAGCCACAGAGGAAAGCTAGGATCTACAATAACAGCAGCGACTTTCCCGTACTATACGCTTTAACATTTTCTGCCAAAAAATCATTCAACATTTAAACAAGAAGGTACAAACACAATGGTTAAACAGAAGGCATAATTAGGCTTCTTTGCTACTCGAGTTTTATGCTAGGTGATCCTCAGGCTTTCTTCTCCTTTGCCTGAAGATCGCATAGAGAGAAGTTGAGCAGCAATGAAGCCTGGTTCTGCATTCTGTGTATTTAAACGGTTCTCCAGGGCCATGTAGCATGCCAAATGTTAAGTTATTGCATCATCATGACATCATCATCAGCATTAGCATGACATCATCATCAGCAGCAGCATCACCATACCTTAGGGTATCTAACTCTGAAGAGGTTCTGTAGCTCCAACATGTCCACATTGTAGCCATGACCAGTTGGATAGTAGGGACTGTGCACGCAACAAAACACCCCCCCCCCCCCCCCACACACACACATACACATACAAACACACACATACACACAGGCACGCATGGGCATGATGCAATAGAAGACAAGAACGGGCTCAGTCCGCGATATTCATGTTAAAACAAAATGGCGTCACGATTTATTGAAAGTGGTATAGTTGGTGGTACGAGTGTTCAAACCCATTTGAACTTCATACTGTTCGTCTTCTTTTTGACATGCTCTCTTTCCATCGTCCTTAGCTTTTGTTTGTTGAGAGCTGTTTTGGCTTTCTCCTATACCTCTGGGGGATGCCAAGTGATGGTTTTGAGAGGCTGGTGATGGCTGTGAGCGAGAGTTTGCCGATCGGCGTCGTCCTCGCTATAGCGATGAAAATACTAGTTACTGCGCACCTGGCAGATATCACAACACGTCGGAGCGTCCCAGGAGCAAAGGAATCTTGGGTTTTCACTGGAATCTAGTTCCTCCAGCATCGTGTAGCCCACCGTCGGTGAATGGCGGTCCAGAAAGGTCGAACCTGGTCTTCTGCAGCATCTCGCAGTCCTGCGAGGCACACTGAATACGCCTGTCATGTATTCTACAAATAAATATCACGAAGTAGTGGACTTTACAGTGATGAGTCTATCCTGTATGCTGCAAAAGACGCAGGAAATGTGACTGGTGTCTGTACACTCAGTGACTGGACGCCAACACCCCAGTCTTCTCCTGCAGGATCTGTTTGACATTGACATTATGCAGTAGGTCGGCATTGACCTGGTTTGGCAGCTATCGTAATCATAGTAGTATCTGCCTGGTTGGATGTAGCAGGTTGATGTTTGCTCGTCGTCCAGTCCGGAATTGTCTTGTAACTCACGGTGGAGTATGCGCAGGGTTTGTGATCATCCCTGTTCACTTCAATATTATCAAACACAACGTTCCCTCTGTCACTCATCTTATCCTGAGTACTGAATTTGCTGACAATATTGCACCACACTTGTCACAACCTACCACCACTGCTGGCGGTGGCGACTGGTTCGTCAATGGCGGTGACCAGGCTGACTGACTAGCTTCGAGACAGCGGCCTCGTTGTCAACCCCGCGGCAGCCTAAAGGTTGATTTTATCGATCCAGCCTCAGCGACTGTGTGTCATGACGATGCCCTAGTGACTGTGTGTCATGGATTGCCTTGCCATCAGCGGTCATTGCCGTCCACCTTGGTGCAGCCCTCAACAACTGGCTCAGCCCATGGGAGTCTCAAGTGGACAAAGTTGTTGCCAAAGTAGCTCAGAAGATTGGTGCATCGTGGTGTAGGTGAGCACATAACTAGGACTTCCCAGCGCCTATTTGTCCAGGCTGCGATACTATGTGACATGCTGTACTGCACATTCTTTTCAGCACTGCAAGGCCGGCAGCTGGACCGACTGCAGTGGCCGCGCACATGCAGGCCGCCTGTTGCCAGTGCAGCATTCTGGAACGTTCCTTCCTTCTGAGATCCGTGGAATAATAACTTTCTTTGCTTCAAAGCAAGTTGCTTACCTTTCTGTTGTGCTCCCAGTGTCCTTACAACAATAACCTACAGCAATGTTTTATTTTCCTTTCCATTCCCCAACCAATGAATACTACGATGTCGATTCTATTTCTGAATACTTTAGTGTGTGCCCGCGCACGCACGTGTGTGTGTGTATACCTCACTCGCCACTCGAAGTTCTGTTCCCCATCACTGGAACACTGCCTGTTCTTTCAGGACCTGCCATCATCTGCGGATGGGCATTCAATGATTGTATTGTGTGTGTGTGTTTCATTCAGAATCAGATCCGCTATCGTTGCTATAAGAGAAAATCTGTGGGTTCACATCCAGTGCATTTGTAGGTTTGCGTGCTTTTCTCGCCACGGGCGCATACATGGGGCATTGTGTGTGTGTGTGTGTGTGTGTGTGTGTGTGTGTGTGTGTGTGTGTGTGTGTGTGTGTGTGTGTGTGCGTCTGTGTGTATGGGGATATTGTCTGTATCGGCTTTTGGTACTAATGTTCAGGTCTGTGCTTGCATGTGTGAACATGAAATTGTTCGGTTCTGTGCATGCTATTGCTATGTTGTATATTATTGTATGTATGTGTGCATTTCCAGGAACAGTGTAGATGAGCGTGGAGAGTGCATTCATCCCTCATCAACCACTTCCCCTTGGGCTTACGAGAGTTTTTTCTGCGTACCTCTCATTTTTGTTTGTTTCTCTCTGATACTGTATTGATGCCGGTACCTGTACCTCGATGTGTTCCTCTATCTGCAGTCGCCTTTAACAAGTTAACGTTTATTGTGGTCTATTTATCGTGAGAATCAAAATAAACAATAATAACACAAGTCGTGCTAGAGTGACGACATGTGCGTGTAGTAGGGTTGATGCCATGGGACGTTATAATCAGGTGGAACAGAACACACATTGGGCATATTGATTGGGCATCATTGATTGTGCTCAGTCTAAACAGTGAACATAATAATTATCTCCAGTGACAGACTGTAGCGGCTAGCCTCCAATAGGTGGCTGGCACTAGTCGCTACTGCTTGTTTGACAGGTGCCGCCAGAACCCCTGTTGTGTCATGCTATAGATGCACATGCCCTATTCTGGGGCATACTGAGGTACTTTGATTTTGTTGACTGCATGTAGACAGCATCCAATAGTAGTACTCGTAGACCTTGGCTCTTTGTAGGTCAACCACCATCGCATGGATCGATCGGTGACTATGCACTTGGAGGTTGGAATAGCCCGCGCTGAACAGATCTTGCCATGGCCCAGGGAGTGAACTCGCTTACTCGACTATCCCGGTTTTAGTTAACCAGCATGAGTGGTGCAATTTGTCCATACCATGTTGCGAGCTCACAGTTGTTTGGGCAGGTTTTGAGCTGCACCACGAAACAAAGGGAAATAACGACGTGACTGTAGAGCAAGGAAGCGGCGAGACGGCACTTCCAGGACGAGACAGGCAGTAGAGATGTGTTCACAGCACGAGCAACCTCTCAAACCCTGCCGGTACTCCACAGTTACAAGAAAATGTCGGACTGTACGACGCGCCAATGCAAACCTGCTACATCCAACCAGGCAGATACTACTATGATTACGATAGCTGCCAAACCAGGTCAATGCCGACCTACTGCATAATGTCAATGTCAAACAGATCCTGCAGGAGAAGACTGGGGTGTTGGCGTCCAGTCACTGAGTGTACAGACACCAGTCACATTTCCTGCGTCTTTTGCAGCATACAGGATAGACTCATCACTGTAAAGTCCACTACTTCGTGATATTTATTTGTAGAATACATGACAGGCGTATTCAGTGTGCCTCGCAGGACTGCGAGATGCTGCAGAAGACCAGGTTCGACCTTTCTGGACCGCCATTCACCGACGGTGGGCTACACGATGCTGGAGGAACTAGATTCCAGTGAAAACCCAAGATTCCTTTGCTCCTGGGACGCTCCGACGTGTTGTGATATCTGCCAGGTGCGCAGTAACTAGTATTTTCATCGCTATAGCGAGGACGACGCCGATCGGCAAACTCTCGCTCACAGCCATCACCAGCCTCTCAAAACCATCACTTGGCATCCCCCAGAGGTATAGGAGAAAGCCAAAACAGCTCTCAACAAACAAAAGCTAAGGACGATGGAAAGAGAGCATGTCAAAAAGAAGACGAACAGTATGAAGTTCAAATGGGTTTGAACACTCATACCACCAACTATACCACTTTCAATAAATCGTGACGCCATTTTGTTTTAACACGCATACGGTCCGTTCACCACCCAACCTGTCACTGAAATACATGACAGAAGTACAAAATGACAATGGAGAACACTGCCACGCCACTACGCTTTACAGCTACAAGTGACTACTCAGTGAATTTGGAAAGGCTTTAGTTCTACCGCAGTACCTCAAGCTGTTCTGAAACTGAAGGAGCATAGCCTGACTATCTATATCAATAATTATCAACTGCAACATTCTTTCAGATACAGATTTGCCAGAGTACATAATGCAACGTCTGAGAGTTGCTCGCAATATACAGCTACAAGTATTCCTGTATTCCTGTGTTCAAGCATTTTCTTTGCGTTTTCTTCTGCTACATTCAAACAAAATCCTTTTTGCTTTTGGTTGCTGGCGTCGCCAGATCACCGTGTCTCGATATACAGGTCATGCGCTCGGTGGCTGCAAACCATCCGGTTTTTTTCTTGTGCGAGCTCTGCTGTAGTGCTTTATTGCTCCCTGCACTGAATCAGGCAAGTTATTCTAGTATCTCATGCTTTTTTAAGTATGGTAATACTTTGGTTCCGGATGTGAAGGTTTGGCTTTGTACGTAGTGAGGAGAAGGGTGGGTCGTGGGGCTGCTGGTATGGTTCCAGCAAGAACCGCTAAGGTAATCCTTCTCGATATATTAACCTCTCTCTCTCTCTCTATCTCTCTATCTCTCTATCTCTCTCTCTCTCGATCTCGAACCCACCAACGAACGGATAAGTAAGCGAATGAATAAACAAACTGTGCTGTGAGCCACATTGTGGTGTTAACTGCACGGTGTTTCAGAACTACATGTAACACGGCAGTCTCATGGCAGCTTGGTTCTGTACATAGGAAGTATGCCCCGTGTTGTATTATGATGTAATGCATTACGTAGCCATGCAAGAGCATGCGCGAGATACGCATCTCGCAGCTGCCTACTTTCATGCAGCATCCTTTAGATGTCGGTGTTCGTATGTTTTGCCTACAATGGCCAAGTGAGAATATAATCCTATCGTAAACAACTAACTTGTTTACCCCGAAACATGGTGTCAGAAGTAAACTAAATAAACGCCCTAGAATTGCCGCAGTAGCGCCACCGGCGCAAGAGGTAAAATGGCAGAAGCAGCCGGATTTACCCCGCCGTCGATGGATTGGCAAGCCGCAGATTTACCTGACGAATTCGAGAGGTTCCAACAATACTGCCTTCTAGTTTTCCAAGGGCCCTTTTCCGACAAGTCCGACAAGGAAAAGGTCGCCTATGTCATGCTATGGATCGGGAGAACTGGTGTTGATGCTTTCAATAGTTTCGAGTGGGATAATGCAAGCGACAAATCCAAAGTAGCTGCCGTCTTCAAGAAATTTAATGCAAGTTTTGCGTAGCTAAAGTATGTTAACGCGGTGACGTAATGTTTTCACTGTATGCTGATGTCTATCACGCGCGTGTTCGCGCCAGCTCACGGATGCGCCGTTGTGCGCATGCGCAAACTCTCCCAGCAGCTCGCTTTGCATACGTACACCCTTCAGCAGCCTTCGTGCCTGGCTCTCTTTGTTAGTTGCATTGGCTCGCATGACTCTTGCTCCGTGTTTTCAGTTTTCAAACTCCGGAGTTCTTCAGTTCTGTTCAGACTTCCTTGTACAAGGTGACATCGTCGTTTCGGTCTCTTGTTGCCTAGTTGTGGTGTCCAGTCCCTGGGCGGGCTGGAATTGTGAGTGCTGTATCCGCGGAGTGGTTTACTCAAATTTTCTCAAATTTTCCCACGCTGAGGCAAGAGATGTCGCGCAGGTCCGCCAGGTCATCTTCTAGCCCCTACGCTAGAGCAACATCCTCCTCTGCTCCTGGAACCACCCAGGCCGGAGCCCCGGCCCAGAACCCCGCGCCGCCTCGTGCTCCTCGTGCTCCGGCTCTACCTGGCCAAGTGCCTCCGTCTCAGTCAATGCCGGCCGGCCAACCACCCCAGCCCACGCTGGCGAGCCAGATCTCCGCCGCCGTGGCTGTTGCTATTCAGCCTCTGGCCGACAAGGTTACCCTGCTGGAGCAGGCTGGCGCGGCCCAACTCGCCGGCCCAGGAACTGGCGTCAACTCGGGACTCGCTCATGTTCCGACGTTCAGCGGGGCCTCGCTTTGTGCTGCCGGATCAATCGCCACTGCAGCGCCGGTTTCACCAGCATCAGTACCGGCTGCCAGCCACCCGCCACAACAGTGGCCGTCATCTGGAGATCTCCCCGTGGTGCCGCCTCGCCTTCGAGACCGGATTGTGCGAGGTGAGTTCACGGAATTGAGTGATTTGCTGCCTGAATCCCTGGGTTTCGAGGGGGATCATGATGTGATGCAACTCGACGTGGGCGCGGGCCGATCTGTGCAGCTCGTCCCCAAATCTTCCCACCGGCAACCCGCCAAGCGACACATCTATGATCTTGCCACATGGGTGGAAGCGTTCACCACCTACTCGAGGGTGCTGGCCGACGCCTCACCACAGCTGGCAGGTGATCTCTGGGCGTATCAGGCCATCATTGTCGATGCCAACGTCCGGTTCCACAATGATGCCTGGCTGTCCTACGACCGCAAATTCCGTATGGCCAAGGCGTCCCTCCCTCACCGCTATTCCTGGTCCGTCATTGACCCGAACCTGTGGCAGTCTTGTCTCACGGGCCGTGGGCGGCCTCCGTGCCAGCGTTGCTCCATGGTCCATCCAAGTCAGCCCAGCAGCTGCCCCTTTCGTGGGGGGCTCCCAGCCCCAACAGGGCCTACTGGGAGCCAGTTCTCGCACCAGCCTCGCTTTGACGGCAAAGCCATCTGTCGTAATTTCAACTTCGGCAGCTGCTTGCTCTCCCCCTGCTCCAGAGCACACGTCTGCATGCAGTGCCGCGGCCGTCACCCCGCACGCCAATGCTCCAAGTCTGGTGACTCGACCAAGAAATAACTCTCACCCCAGTGGTGACGCTGCTTTACAGGTGCCCACTAGCACGCCTGTTCATGTTCGGCGCTTTATCAATCTTCTCTCTCCTCATCCAAATGCAGTATTTCGCTCTTATGTTTCACAAGGCATGCAGTATGGCTTTCGTATTGGCAGCTCTCGCCCCATTGCATCTTCTGTTATGTCTCCTAATCACCCTTCGGCTTGTGCTTGCCCTGCTGAGGTTACTACTCATCTGCTTACCTGTTGTGACCGCGGAGAAACTGCGGGCCCATTTGCATCTCCGCCATTCCCTCACATGCATATTTCTGGTTTGGGTGCTATCCCGAAGTCTAATGGCAAACTGCGTATCATCCACGACCTCTCGTCCCCTGCCGGCTTGAGTGTGAATGACGGTATATCTCGGGATGAATTCAGCCTGCAGTACGAAACTGTCGATACAGCTATCTCTCTGATCATGCAGGCAGGGCGTGGCGCTCTTTTGACGAAGGTCGACATCAGGAATGCATTCCGTCTCTGTCCTGTTGCCCCCTGTGACTGGCCTTATCTAGGCATCTTCTGGCAGGGACAATTCTATCATGACAAAGTGCTACCATTTGGATTGCGTTCTGCACCATACATATTCGATAAATTCGCCACAGCAGTCCAGTTTATTCTCGAGGATGCATGCCACCTAAGCCAATTACTCCACTACCTGGACGACTTTCTGAACGTTAGTCCGCCCCACCTGCCCGTTGCGGAACATCATCGCTCACTTATCTTAGACATGCTCCGCTATTTGCAGATACCGGTGGCCTCTGAGAAAGTCGAAGGCCCATCCACATGTCTCACCTTCCTCGGCCTGGAGCTGGATTCGCTGACGTTTGAGATCCGGCTACCGTCCGCCAAACATGGGGCGTATCTCGGCAAAGTCAACGGCCTCCTTCAATCAGGCATGGCGTCCCGGCGCGAACTCGCCTCCGTGTTGGGCAATCTCTCGTTCGCGGCCCGGGCTATTCCTGCCGGTCGTACCTTCCTGAGGCGCCTGTACGGCCTTGACCGTGCAACAAGCAACCTTCCAAAGCACAAGGTTCTCACCCTGTCAGCCGGAGCAGTGAACGACCTCAAATGGTGGCAGCGTACCCTATCAGTCTGGCCAGGGAAGTCGTTCTTCCTCCTGGACAAATGGACAAAGGCGCCCAACTTGCAATTGCAGACTGATGCCAGCGGTAACCAGGGCTATGGAGCGTACTTCCAGGGACGATGGATCCGTGGAGCATGGTTGCCCCACCAGCATTCAGAGTCCATACAGTATAAAGAACTGTACGCTATTGTCATCGCAACCAGTACATGGGCGTCAGAGTGGAAGTCCCTCCGTATTGAGTTTCAGTGCGACAACTCAGCTGTTGTAGACTGCATCAAATCCGGCACCAGCAGATCGCCACCCATGATGTCTCTAGTTAGGTGTCTGTATCACCTTTGCGTTGCTCACGATTGCCTGATTTCAGCAGTGCACATCCCTGGTGTTACTAATACCATTGCCGATGCTCTTTCCCGGAATCTGTTGCAGGAATTCCGCCGCCTGGCACCCACGGCACAGCTCCATCCGGACATGCCGATCTTGCCCACACCGGACTGACCGAAGACGTGGCCAGGCTGGCGTCCCTGGCAATAGCACCATCATCCAGGAGGACATACTCAGCTTCAGAGCGGCGGTACCTGGATTTCTGTCAGCAGCATGGCGTCGTGGCCCTGCCTGGAAGCGACGTTACGCTGTGCTACTACGCAGCCCTCCTCATGCGCACACTGCGGCCGGCCTCGGTTCGCACATATATGTCAGCCATCCGGAACTTACACGTCGAAATGGGCCTCGAGTACCCGAATCAGCCGACGTCCCTGCTGTCACGAGTGTTAAGAGGCATAGCCCGTTCGTCGGGACCTGGCCGCCCTCGTTTGCCTATCACAACACCCATCCTCCGGCAACTCTGCCAACGCCTCCAAGTTTCCTCCATGCGGCACCCAGTTGACCAGGCAATGCTGCAGTGCGCCTTCACCCTGGCCTTTTATGGCTTCCTGCGCTGTGGTGAGCTCACCTCGTTGACGTTTGGCAACGTGGCCCTGGACCAACAATCATTTCGTATCATCATCACGCTGCTGCAATCAAAGACGGACCCGGACGGTAGGGGCACGGTTGTCCACGTGGGCGGCTGTACCGATGTCATCAGCTGCCCTGTTACGGCGATGGTGCGGTACCTGACGGCAGTGTCAGCGGAGTCCCAATCTCCTAGAGATCAGCTGCTCGTCTACCACAATGGCCAGCCTCTGACACGAGCGGACGTCACGAGGGAGGTGCGGACCCTCCTACCGCTTTGTGGGATTACAGATCCGTCCAGCTATGCCAGCCACTCATTCCGGATCGGAGCAGCCACGTCTGCAGCTATCGCAGGCGTACCAGAGCACGTGATCCGCCATATGGGGCGATGGCGCAGCGACGCCGTGCTGCGCTATATCCGTGTTGAGCCATCCGAGGTGCGGCTAGTATCAGAGAAGCTGGCCACAGTGAGTGACTGACCAGTAGCGCTGCACCTTGACGAATGTCTCCTCCGGTATACATACCAACTCTCAGTACCGCTATCGGTACCTAGATTTCTCGACTGCTAGCAGCTCCTGCTATACTCCTCGTTCAATGCTCGCGTTATTTCTGAGCACTGACTTATTTGGTTGGCCCACCAGGGTAACTAGCTTGGGCACTGAACTCTCAGTAGCTGGCAGCATTCTCTCTATTCGGTTACTGCCCTTGGCAGGTCAGCCGCCATTTCGGTCTCACTCTCGGTCCCCGCCTCTGTCGGGTCGGCCGCCTCCATGGTTACACACTGCCAGCTCCTTCGCCCAGTTACCCTGTGGTGCCAACCAACTACTGCTGTGTCTGTGTGTGGGTCGTGTATGCCTCCGCGTACGGAGCATGCGTTAATGCAAGTTTTGCGTAGCTAAAGTATGTTAACGCGGTGACGTAATGTTTTCACTGTATGCTGATGTCTATCACGCGCGTGTTCGCGCCAGCTCACGGATGCGCCGTTGTGCGCATGCGCAAACTCTCCCAGCAGCTCGCTTTGCATACGTACACCCTTCAGCAGCCTTCGTGCCTGGCTCTCTTTGTTAGTTGCATTGGCTCGCATGACTCTTGCTCCGTGTTTTCACCCACCCACCCACACCGACTTCATTGTGTTACAATTCTCATTCTGTAGCACCCCGCTTATACTACTAACCTCATTCGTCTTCCAAACTCACTCTGCTAAACAAAAACAAGCAGGGATTGGGCACTGAACTCTCAGTAGCTGGCAGCATTCTCTCTATTCGGTTACTGCCCTTGGCAGGTCAGCCGCCATTTCGGTCTCACTCTCGGTCCCCGCCTCTGTCGGGTCGGCCGCCTCCATGGTTACACACTGCCAGCTCCTTCGCCCAGTTACCCTGTGGTGCCAACCAACTACTGCTGTGTCTGTGTGTGGGTCGTGTATGCCTCCGCGTACGGAGCATGCGTTAATAAGCATTTGCAGCCACGGGTAAATGCACGACTGGCTCGGTTTGAGCTTCAGAAATACCGCCAGCAACCCGACGAGTCTGTAGATGATTTCTTTGCGAGGTGTAAGAAGAAGACGTCCAAGTGCAAGTTCAGGGACGCTCAGGAGACAAACGATCGCCTGATAGAACAGCTAATCGTGGGGACGAAGCACTCGAAAGTGCAAGAACGCCTGCTGGAGGGTGGTAGTGATTTGACTCTGGACGAAGCGCTTGACAAGGCCCGTACTTATGAAGCAACACAGCGCCACATGGAGCAGCTGTCCACCGCCACCAGCAGCAGCCGTCTACCTGAAACGGTTCACGCCATTTCCAAATCTGTGGGACACGCAGACTGCGGCAAATGTGGACGAACCCACCACCCAAGCAAGTGCCCAGCGCACGGCTCCACCTGCAACAAATGCGGGAAGGCGAATCACTGGGCAAACGTATGCCGTTCGCAGGGGAGAGACGAGGCACATGGAAGAGGCCAGCAACGCGGACGCTGGCGCCAGAGGAGCCCCAGCCCGCGGGAGCGCTACCCCCAGAGGAGCCCCAGCCCACGGAGACGCTTCGACGCACTGCATTTCGACGCCGTCATCATCGACAGCGTCGAGCGTCACCAACCGCCACTAGAGCGAGAGGTGTTCGCGACCCTCAATGTCAGCCTGGACAACACCAACAGACCGGCCACCTTGAGAGCCAAGGTGGATACGGGCGCCCAGGGCAATATATTGCCGCTGAGAGTGTTCTGCCAAATGTTTCCCCAGCACGTCGGACCAAACGGATACCCAAAGCCGAAGTCCGTGAAGCCGTCAAGTACCACCCTCACAGCGTACGGCGGATCCAAGATAAAGCAATGCGGAACCCGTCCTATTCCGTGCTCTTACGATGGCAAGAGTCAACTCGCTGACTTCTACATCACGGACTGCCCTGGCACTGCTATCATCGGCCTCCCGACAGCGACAGCCCTGCAGTTAGTCACGCTGAACTGCGCTGTCCAGGAGAAGCCAGCGAGCATCCGAGACAAGGACGACCTGATGAAGCAATACCCGAAGTGCTTCGATGGCATTGGGAAATTCCCAGGCAAGTACCACATCACAGTGGACCCCAACGTCGTCCCGGTTGTACACCCTCCACGCCACCTCCACGCCATCGCACTGAGAGACGAGATCAAGACGGAGCTGGAGGACATGATCCAGAACGGCATCATCACCAAGATCCAGGAAGGCGAACCAACAGCATGGGTGAACAGCCTCGTGTTCCGCCTCAAAGACAATGGCAAGCTACGCCTGTGCCTAGACCCCAAGGACCTCAATCACGCCATCCTGCGAGAGCACCACGTGGTCTCCACCATTGAGGAGATCACCCCGAAGTTGAGAGGTGCCAAAGTGTTCTCGATTGTCGACGTCAAATGTGGGTACTGGAATGTGGAGCTCGACGACGAATCCAGTTACCTCACCACCTTCAACACACCATTCGGGCGCTACAGATTCCTTCGCATGCCATTCGGCCTCAAGATGTCGCAAGATGTCTTCCAAGCAAGGATCGACCAGACGTTCGAAGGGTGCTCAGGCGTCACCGGCATCGCAGACGACATCGTCACATACGGGACGTCAGACGAGGACCATGATCTCAACATGCACCAGATGATGGTTCGCTGCGAACAATCTGGTCTCAAGTTGAACCCAGACAAATGCCGCATCAAAGAGGACAAGATCAAGTTCTTCGGCATCATCTGCAGCGCTGACGGAATACAGCCCGACCCGAAGAAGGTCTCAGCGCTGAAGCAGATGGAGCACCCCGAGAACGAGGACGAGCTCCAGACGTTCCTCGGCCTAGTCACGTACATGAGCCCGTTCATACCGAATGCCAGCACACTGACCGCGCACCTGCGTGAGCTGACCAAGCCAGATACACCGTTCGCCTGGACAGACAGCCACCAGCGCACCTTCGACAAGGTCAAGGCCGCCATTTCGACAGAAGTAACGCTCAGTTACTTTGACCCAGGCAAGGCAACGACACTACAAGTCGACGCTTCCATGAAAGGTCTCGGCGCCACTCTGCTGCAGGACGACAAGCCTGTTGCATTCGCCAGCAAGAAGCTTACCGAGACGGAGTCTCGCTACGCCAATATTGAGCGTGAGCTCTTAGCTGTCGTATACGGGTGTGAAAGATTCCACACCTACCTATTCGGTCAGTCATTCACAGTAGAATCCGACCACAAGCCGCTGGAGTCAATCAAGCTCAAGCACCTCCGCGCAGCCCCGCCGCGTCTACAGCGCATGCTGCTGAAGCTGCAGCCGTACGACATGATCATCAAGTACCGCCCCGGAAAGGACATTCCGATCGCAGACGCGCTATCCCGACTGTCGCCAGAGGAAACAGAGCCAATTGAGGACCTCGACGTCAGTGTACACGCCGTGTTCCCGCAATTCAGCGATGCAGCGATGACGAGGATCCGCGAGGAGTCGGCTAAAGACGCCGAGATGTCAGCACTGAAGGAGATGATCTTCAGTGGCTGGCCATCAGAGAGGAGCGCGGTGCCGGCAATTCTGCTCCCGTACTGGAATTTCCGCGACGAGATGAGCACCGAGGACGGTCTCATCCTGAAGAGCAGTCGCGTCCTGATTCCCCCGCCAATGAGGGGGGAAATCCTCAGCAAGCTGCACGCCAGCCACCAAGGCATAGAGAAGACCAAGCTGCGAGCCAGAACGTCCGTCTTCTGGAAGGACATCAACAAGGATATCGAAGCAACTGTCTCATCTTGCACGACGTGCCAGCGCCACCAGAGCAGTCAAGCCAAGGAACCACTGATGCAGCCTGATATTCCGCCAAGGGCATGGCACACCTTAGGCACGGACCTGTTCTACCTCGGCGGGTCAGAATACCTCATTGCCGCCGACTACTACTCCAAGTACTTTATCACCCGGAAGCTGCCTGCCGGACAAGCGACCAGCAGGGCCATCATCCAGCACCTCAAGGAGATTTTCGGTGAGCACGGCATCCCAGCCGTGCTGAAGTCGGACAACGGGCCGCAATACAGCAGCCATCTGTTCGCGGAGTTTGCTGCCGAATATGGATTCCGCCACAGTACGTCGTCGCCACATCACCCGCAGAGTAACGGGTTTATCGAATCGCAAGTCAAGATCGCTAAGAGAGCTCTCGAGAAGGCAAGGGAGAGCGGGACCGACCCGCACTTAGCACTGCTGTGCATTCGCGCCACCCCAGTGTGCCAGGGCTTACCGTCGCCGGCCGAGATGCTGTTCGGTCGTCAGGTACAGGACAACCTGCCTCGCAAACACCAGCGCGACACTCGGGACGAGGCCATCCGACAGAAGCTCGAGGAACGGCAGGACCAGCAGAAAATACACCATGACCAGCGAGCGCAGTCTCTCCGCCCCCTAGTTCCTGGTCAGCACGTCGGCATCCGCAGCCCGACCACGCACCTGTGGGAACCTGGTATCGTAACCCAGTCTGTCAACGGGCCACGGTCATACATGGTGCAGCCTGACCATGGGACAGAAGTGCGGCGCAACCGTACCCACCTCAGAGAGAGGCGGGTCCACTTCCCGCCGGATGCCAGTCTCGCAGGCCCTCAGCCGCCGAGTGACGTGCCGTCGCCGTGGAGCGACGTTAGCCAGTCTCAGCCGCCGTCACCGTGTGACGTCAGCCAGCCTGCTGAACCTGCCACCCAGCTGTATCGAACACGGTCTGGCCGCGCAGTCGCACCCAGGTCAATCCTGGATGTGTAGGGCCAGAGAGGCCTCATGGACCTGTTCGCTTATGTCACAGTAGCTGAGGTGCCATTGTTATATTGTACATAGAGCTATTGTTGGATACTATGTCTCTGTATTGTTAGCACGCCGTCGTGTGCCATTCATGATTGTTACCTTGTACATAGAGCTATTGTTGGATGTTATGTTCTATATTGTGAACACGCCGTCATATACGTACGGTATGTTATGTAGGTTGTTAAACTCCTTTATGACGAAGGGGATGTTGTATTATGATGTAATGCATTACGTAGCCATGCAAGAGCATGCGCGAGATACGCATCTCGCAGCTGCCTACTTTCATGCAGCATCCTTTAGATGTCGGTGTTCGTATGTTTTGCCTACAATGGCCAAGTGAGAATATAATCCTATCGTAAACAACTAACTTGTTTACCCCGAAACACCCCGCAGCCAGGGTCGGGTATCCCCAGGGTCGGGTATCACTAGCCAGCATCGTGCTAACTGAGGACTATAGGGTTTTTTTATCCACAGAAACAAGCTTCTGTTTCTCGAAGAGCTACCGATACTGACCTAATGCTCCTTGATCTTGATGACCGGTCGGACATGTCATGATCACTGCAGCACAGTAAAATCAGCAACAAAACCATTGTAAAACCTGAGCCACTGAAAACAATTGCCTGTTGCAAGGGAGTATGAAGCAGGAAAGTGTGTTGACACTGGACACTGATGGCATTATCTTAGTTGTTAATTGACATGGCATTGTGGGACTGTTCAGATGACATCATGGTACGTTCAAAGATGTGATGATCATGCCGGATGAAACCTGGCATATGATGTACTTGCAGTGAGCCACTGACCCATTCTCACCATGTGACTAACCTGTATGCCCTGTCAACAGTGAGGAGATCACCATCGTCAGTACCACTAGCATGCTGCAGGGGACAGGCACGGGCACACAGTAGACATCAGTCTACATTCATCGTATCTAAAAAAAATGATCACAACATGACTGGAACTAGTAAGCGGACTTTGCAGACAAGTAGCCGTACAGATAG